AGCACCTCCTCCTTAACTATGGGAGGACATGGAGCTGGCCTCCTCTTTCAGCCACCTCTCACTACACCTAACAAGTCGCCCTCTCAGTCTGTTCTCACTCTCTTTCCTCCTCCAATCCCATCCTCAACTCAACATCCATCTTCATCTTAGCCACTCTTTTCATCCACGGGTTCGCCCTGACTCCCTCTTCGAAGAGCAGGCCCAACACTCACTCCCCTCCCTCCTTTATTTTCAACCTCCCTCCCCTCCTCCCCCTCCTCCTCCTCTACCTCAGCTCTCCCTTCATCCTCAGACAGGGAGCAAAGGAACAAAGGGCCTCTGATGTCTTCCTGGAGAGGTTATAAAGTGAAGTCAAATTTTGTTAAAGCTCATCCAGTGTCAGCAAGTCAGCTGGTGCCAAACGTGGACGGCCTCTCAGACGGCACTTTCAGAATTATAATTACTCCATGAGAGATGAAGCAGGGCAGACAGGAGAGCAGGGAGGTGAAGACAGAGAGAGAGAAGATCTGTGTTTTTATTTAAGAGAGCTGGATGTCCTGAAAGAGTAGAACCAGCTGCTATCTTCGGGCGAGAAGAAGGGGGAGCGGAGGCATCGAGATCAGTCGAGCAGCACCACAGATTCTGCCAGCTCAAGGGTATTTTGAAGCCTTTATCTGGTAAACAGGTCAAGGTGGGGCCAACATATCCTCACATGAACCAGACCAGAGACAGCTCTAACAACCAGAGTAAGTGTCTGAGCATTATTGCCTGTGTTTGGATAGTGGACAGTGGGGGGGCAGGACGGATATGCAATAAAGGTCCTTGACCAAAACTTGAATGCTGCTAAACTGTTAAAGACCTGTCAGCTCTGAGACCAGTTTTACTCTTAGATAAACCTCCATGTTTTGACCTGTTTTTCACAGATAAGGAGCAAAATTTTATTCTAACTGCAAGATTTCAAAGCATCAGTCAACAATTTCTTAATCGCAGACCATTGCCATGGAGAGCAGACCAGTGCTAGGGATGCTGCTTCAGTCAAAGGGGAATAACTGTAATAGTTTTAGTGGACAGAAAGAAGTCTAGTCAATTAGATATTTTTTTTACTGTTCAAATACAAAAAAAGAGACAGCAACAGTAGAGGAAAGGCAGGAGAAGAAAATAAAGAACAAGAGCAACAGGGAGATTACAGACAGAAAAAATCAGTCAGATTCACTGACAGCTTAGCTGATATGGGCTGCTCTCCCTGCCTTGGAGAGGGGAGGTGTGCTCTGCCCTCCTAAGGTCTTGAAATAACATTATTAAGAGTCATAAAAGTGGTTAAAAATATGATTCAAACCAACTAAAATATTTTAAAACAGCAGATTAGGGATAATGTGTACTATGAGCAGGTTTTTTTTTCATTTACTGCGGAGGGACCTCTTTAGACTCCCACCACCACCTCAGAAAGAAACTCTCTGTAAAAACCTGATTGTTGCACAAATTTTCTGCTTATTACACATTTACTATTTTGTATTTATCGATTCGCAAAAGGATCAATACAGTTCTACCAAACCTAATCTAATCTAATCTAATCTAATCTAATCTAATCTAATCTAATCTAATCTAATCTAATCTAATTTAATCTAATCTAATCTAATCTAATCTAATCTAATCTAAACTGAGGGGGTCCCATTGATACTCAGTGCCTAGTTGCGAGACCCCTGCCTACAACCTGTTTGACATGGACTGTGGCCTTTGCAAACTGAGTGCCTGTCCTACTTACTGAGCCAAACCAGCGGTGCAGTCCATTTTTATCATTATAATAAAAACACATTATTCCAAAAGACTCTTGCAAGTGTCCAGTTCCTTCCTGAAGCTGCACACAGACATCTAACAAGGCTGTCATGCTTCATATTTTTGTCTATTTCTGCAGGAAATGACAAGCTGCAGATTTAGAGCAAACACTGTATCAGCCAGTCAGAGAGACTGGAAATTCTCAAGTTTATGATGATACAATTTTCTCTAAGATATGTTTTGTGGTCGCATGTGCTCATTCAGCTTTTCTGGAAATACATAAAAGATGTTGTAAAGTGCTTCACTGATTTCACGATCGGAGCCAAAGCGTGCTTTGCAGAACTGCAACCAGGATAAACAAAATGTGTTTTAAGTCATGTAGATTTAGGTTTTGTCATTGGTTTTCCCCAGAATCCTCATGGTCATAAATCTTGTCTTACTTCTATATTTGACAAGCATCCTTCCCCTCCAAAGAAAGCACTGGCACCAAGTGATAGCCACTAGAAATATATACTGTACACAGTATTTGAAAGCCACAATTGCAGGTTTATGTCCATAAGAAGTTTAGCGATGAGATTGTTGCAGGAAAATATCCTCAACAGTATCAGGTTTTGTTTGCTGGGACTTTTTTAGATTGATTTCATCTGAACAATATATATCTAGTTTTCAGAATCATTGAACAAATGTATCCTCAAACTGCAGCAGTCATTGCTTTTTTATGGTTATTAATAAATATAACATTTCCTTTATTCCAGAGGGTAATACGCCACAATGTTTGGGTAATGTGGAGATACTCTGCAGCTCTGTAAAGGTAATTGTGTCCAGTTTTCTTTGGCACTTCTTTGGTTATTGCTCTTTACAGCTTCAGCACGACCTAATGCATTTTTCCATTGGCCTCTTTGCCTATTTAAACAGTCAGTAAACCCAGCAATTATTCTGAGCGGTTGAATGAGCTCATGCTTGTCTGTTAGACTAAAAAAAAGGATAAAAAGATAACCTTGTTAGCAGTGACCTGGCCTGCACTGCAGAGTGCCCACAGCGGCCCATAAACTGCTTCATAGTAAGGAGTTTAACCAAAGGCCTATAGGCGTCCTGTCAATCACAACTCACCCATGCTGAATCCTGTTTAAAGCCCTTTCTCTGGACTTTCTGTGCCTAAAAACACAGAAGATTATGGGAAAAGACAGATGGGCTTCTACGACCACGGGATGTGGTCACCGCCTCTTGTTACAGTCACTTTTACTGTTTTCTAATTCAGACGCTCACATGGGTAAGAGTGACATATCTCCAGGTGCTCATTAGGATGACCAGCATCACCCTCTCTCTGGAATGACCCCTGAGCTGAACTGGACTCAACTCTTAGCCTGCAAAAACTCAGAGAGCTCATGAATACACGCCTGAATGCTTTAGGGAGAAATACAGGGGCTACGCTTTTGAATGTTATTCAAACCAGGAAGAGGATGATCACTCAGGCGCCTCCTCCTCATCACTCTTCCTGCTCACGCTTTGCTTCTGTGTATGTTTGATGTTAATGGACTGTTGTGGAGTTCGCAGTCATGATGTCCGTGTCCTCAGTAGGTTTCCGTGCTACAATCAGTGTAACAGAAAAGCATGGAGAGCAGTGGTGTTTATTATGCTGAAAGTTAAAGTCTAGGATCATCTAAGAGCCAGCAGGTGCTTCTGAGCTCCCAGAGTATTTATTTTACTTCGTAAAGACCAGGAAAGGGCAAACGTTTCATTTAATCCCCTTTAACAAACACCAATTAGGCTCACTAATGAGGCCTGGGGTCAGATGGATTAGGACGCTCGTTTTTCCTTCCTTTTTATTTCTGTCCTCCATCCTTCTTTGATGTGTTTTCCCCCCACTCTGCCTCACAAACTTTACGTCATCTCTGTCTGAGTTTGCTCTTTAGTTTGTCTGAGCTCGATCGCCTACAGCCTTCGTCACAGGTTGTCAATGCTTCTTAATTTAGACAGCTTTCCCCTCGATCCAAATCAAATACCTGGAGGGAACACAAACTCATAAATCCACTCCTCTAACCTCACCAGCATCCACAGCGATCTCTTTTAATACTGGGATGAGCTACTGCTTGGTCTGCCCTGAGGATCTCTGCTGATTGATTTACACTCAGACTCGGTCCAACTCGCCCAAACAGTAAAGAGACAAAGTATTTCCACCTGCTGTACCTCCATGCACGCAGGGCTGAAAAGGATCTGTCTCTGCACCGTGTCAGCGTGCCAAACATGCCAAGAACCAGAAGAAATCAGGGCTTTCACCCTCCATGAGATACCCTTCCCTCAGCCCGCCTGCAGGTATTATAGGATGGCAGCTGCCAAACAATAAGGACACAAATTTGTTCTTGGAGAAAGCTGGGATTTAATCACATTGAATAAAAACATGTCTGCATCCCATTTATGAATCATATGTCTGGGAGCATGCTAAGCTTTCTGTGAGGCCTGCAGATAATCTCTGTGTTTCTGTCTAATATCACATCTGACTGAATGTGGTTGTAGCAGAATAACACCAGTCCAGAGGAGGATTTTCCTCAGCATTACCTTCGCTAAGCTTGTTTATCAGTCTCATATGCCACCATGAGTATGTCTTTGTCCAGCTGAAGTAATATCAGCATCATTTATCTGTTAAAGAGGGACCATTAAATGATTGTTTTTCACATATTAAGAGTCAAATTCTACCTCTGTTTCTCCATATCATGAATATTCACCTGTACAGCCTTATCATCTCTGAACTCAGTGACCTTATTTTGTGTTTAAACCAAGAGTAAATAGACTGTTTTCACCCTCCAGTGTTTGTCTGAATGAGGGAGCCAAACCGGCAGAGAAAGAGGAAATAGGCTCTCAAATATGTGGTTAGGTAGACACTCCAAAAGGGAGCATACAGGGATTTCACTATTATGACAACATTTGACTTCACATTTTGGAAGTGCAAAATTTTCATGCAAGTCACAAAACTTAAAATAGCAGCTTGAAAAGGCTGAGTGCAATTCTTAAGTCTTTAATCTCATTTTCTTTAAAGCTTTTATCTGCTGTTTAAACCAAAGTAAGAAATGAAAATAGTATGAAACCCTGTGAATTCTTTAAATAGATTGGAATTAATGCGTTAATTTCTAAAGAAATACATACAGATCTGTTTGTTAGTGTGTCGTGATGTTTGACCCAACTCGCTTTCCGTTGTGTTTGCTGTATCTTAGCAACTATAAGGGGCGGGAACGGCCGGACAAGGGAGTGTGTGGTTTCCATGGACACAGTAGCTCAGACCGTCGGTAGAAGTTTTTAAAATTGAGAAGAAACTTTCTAAAACACGGTGAGTTTGGAATTTAAGAATATTTTTTAGCGTTAGGAGTTATGACGGAACCAGAAAGTGCAGGTTTTACCAACCAGGAACACCTGAAATGAGGTAGGTTATAATAAGCTACAGAGTGTTAAAGAAAGGGACAGCTTAAAGTAACGGTTCAAAAACTTCATAAATAACAAAGAAACGTGTTTAAATGTCGAAAGATGAGATGACATGATGCACTGATGAGACATTTAGAGGAAACATAGGTATAGCCTAACATGAAGAGCTAAATGATATGAACCTGAAACGTTACAGCTGAAACTATTTAGCTGTAATTAAATCCAAATTGTACTTTATTTATTATAGGAGAAATACTTAAAGGTCAAAATTTGAGATGGAATTTTAAAATGAAACGTTTTATTATGAAATTAATAATAATAATAATAATAATGATGATAATGATTTAAAAAAGAGGGAGAATATTATTAAAAAGGAAACCATGAGTCCAAAAAATAAGCTGGTCATAACTAAAGGGGGGAAAAAGGGTGGAGGGTGATAATTTTAGATGTAAAGTTAAAAATGAGATCTTTAAAGTCATATTTGTGGTTCAAAGACTTTGACATAATGTGAAAGTGAATCATGATTGTGATAAAATGGGTCATTACAGAAAAACTTAAAGCTAAAATTATGAGCTGATTACTTTGATGAAATCAAGTTGAAGTTATGATGGATAATCATGAGGTAAAAAGTTGTAATTATAAGAGTGTAAGTCATAATAATGAGACAAGAAGTCAAAATGATGAGGTCATCATTATGATAAGGTCAGAAGCTTATTACTATGACTTCTTTATCATAAATAGGGTTTTTTGTTATTTCTCAGTTTTGATTTAATATTAAGAATTATTCTTAGTTAAAGCTAAGTCTTGATCTTTTTTTCTAACTGATGTTAATGGGCTTCTATGGGTGAAACTTGTGACATATTTGTAGAGTGTAATCTTCATCCTTAAGCAGAGATCACATTCAAGCTAGGCTAAATTTGAACTTATGCATGGCTGGTGTGACCCAGTACTGTCTGTAAACCTCTATCTGAAGAAACACAAGTTTAGAGTTTTCTGCACAAGCACAGTCAAATGCACTTTTGTATTAATAGCTTTTAGATTAAGCTCTAAATGGATAAGGTAGCTTTTTTTATTGCTAACATGATAGAGTTACATGGTTTTGATTAAAGATATTACTGATATTTGGTAACACAATTCTAAAAAAGACCTTTTTGTTTCAGCCGTGAAATAAATCAGAGAACTGCCCCAAATGTTTTCTTCTTACCCGAGCAGCAAGTTGGTCACATTTTAATTTGAGTAAAGTCAAGCTTCTTGTTGATCCTATATTCAGATGACACAAAATGTTTAAAAGGTTGTTCTTGTTTTTTAGTGTGACACTATCTCAGCTAGTGTTATGGGGGTTTCATTGAGCAGGGCAGCCCAGTGGACCACTGTCAGCCCTGGTTCCGTCAGACTGGAACCCACACCAATGAATGAATCCCTGTTAAAAGAGATCCTGCACTTTGTGGAGCGGCTCAGCTCCCAACACCCTCAGGAGGCAGAGCATGTGTTTGAGGAGCCGCTGCAGTGGACGACCACTTTAGTGGCATCTGATTTCCAAACAGGCTATGACATCAGGTCGGTCTAATCAGGAGGTGGGCAGCTGGCTGGCCTGTGCGCTCAGTATTACGTGTCTTTTCAGGATATGCTGTCATCATGGTGTCCAAATGTATTTCACTTTGGCTTTAGTCAAAGAGTGAGCTATAATTAATTTGTTTTTCAGCTTCACTTAGTCGAGAGGACATTCCTTTTTGTTTCATCAGAACTTCAGGTTTCTTTGCTCATATCTTAAAAGCAGAGAAGCACAAAAACAAAAATACAGAATCTGATCTTCTCCTTGTGCTCCAGCGTTAAGAACCAAATACAAAACACTTAATAACACGCATGAAAACAGAGATATTCTTGAATTTTGTGTCTTTTTTTCTCAGTGACTCAGATGCTCAGTCCCATGAGAAAGACAGTGAAGGATGTCCGCTGTTGCAGCTTTCTCCTCCTGTTGTTTATGTGCGCAGCTTCAGCCAGATCGCTAAACTGCTTCATCTGGCAGAAAACACAAAGCTGAAGGAGGTTCAAGCTTGTCTAGAAGGTAAGTACGATAACCACAAGATGATATTTGAATCTACTTTGCATCCTAAGTAGTCAAGATGCCAAAATACCTCTATAACTGCAGACTTTATTTGTTTGTCCTTCCACTTATCCTCTGCAACCAGCAATTCATGCTGTCAGTGGTTATTCATCACAGATACACCTGGGCCAAACAGGGAGAAAAGCACATGATGAATGAAAATCAGTTTTTGGACTGTCTTTAAAGACAGAGTGTACCTTTATTTTTTGAGAGTACTTACTAACAAAGTAATCATCTTTTAAACACGAATCTTTTGTGTGGAACAGAAAATAGAGACCCAGTAGAGAAGATTCTGGGTCCCAGCTTTGCTGGTGTTTTGTCCAGAGAGGACGCTGGTGTCGATGTGCTGAGTCCAGTGGACAAAGTCAAAGAAGAGAGTGACGGCAAAGACTCAGAAACCACAATAAAGCTGCTCCCGCTGCTGCAAAACCTGGATGACCAGCTTCTCAAGAAGTGTCTCAGAGAGACCTCAGAGTGAGTGCTCTTCTTTCTGATTGGTTATCCTCTCCCCCCTCTACATGTAGTCATTTTGGATCTGATCCATCTGTGGGTTTGGAACAGAAACTGTAAGTGAGTGAGATGATTTTGATGTTTGTCTTGTTTTGTTTTTCTACGTTTTCATCAGCCTCGACCCCACCGCAGCCAAGAAAGAAGTGGAGCTGCTGAGACGTCTCTGCACTGAGCAGAGGGTGTTGAAGTCGGTTCGATACACATCAGGTTTGAATTATCTCCACATTTCACTTGGTTAGAAGGAGAGCTGTTATTACTAACACTAAGGCTGGAAGTATGAAGGAGTCTGTCCCCACAGAGTGATACTGGACAGTAAATCTATCCTGCCTGGAGTCCTGTGTCTTTGTCTGCAACACAACATGATTTCTGACTTCTGACTTTATTTTTCTTTTCTTGTCAGATTATGAGTTTTCAAACGGCTGTCGTGCTCCTCCGTGGAGACAGGTGCTTGGGGAGATCTGTTACCTGGTGATTGAGCCGTGTGATACTGAGGCGCTCTACATCACCTATAGCACTGCTGGAGTATTTCTGAATGGGGTAGGAGGATGGAGCATTGTAGAGTACACTATCTAATATGGAAGTGAAATAGCTGACCTGTGGGTCTAAATTTTGACTAAGGTCATGAAGTTGTGCGGTCTGTCCAGCACTAGTGCCCTCAATACTAGAGATGGGAATCAAAACCTGGTTCTAGATAAGAAGTGGTACCAGCTTGTTTGAGCCAAATTGTCCTGACTGAACTGTGTGTTTCTGTGAAATCTAAGACTTTTCTGTCTCACAGAGGAGATCTGTGTATTTTAGGGACTGTCCAGATAAAAGCTTATCGATTCACATCTACTAGATGAATGGAAACTTTTGAGAATTCTTAGAAAGACGCAGTTATAACCAGGTCACAGCAGACAGATGCTTTAAGAAGCACTGACACTATACAGTAAGTTTCTGAACAACAGTTGTAATTTTGGAAATGTTCATTTAGCAGCAGAGAAACCAGCAGAGAGCCAATGACTGCAAACAGATCAGAGTTCAGCATGAGTCCCTCTGACAGCCACGAGTCTCTGTGCATCGCTCCAGCTGGAAGGAAAACCATGTTGAAAGAAAACACAGCGGTCTACAACATAACCACTCCCAGTAATAAAACAAAGACTACAGTCTAACATTACGTTTACCATCCATACAGCGTGAGCACGTGCAACACCATAACCAGCAGAGTTTAAAAGTTAAAGATATCACATTACAGCCCATGGTGTTTCTTGATGCTGTTGAGGATTTTTAATGTAAGGAGAGTTTCTGTTGAGTCAAACAGGTCTGTGTTTGATCATGATCAAATGTCAGATTAGACTTCAGCTCAAAATTTTCATCTGTGTTTATAAAATAATCTAAATTTGTTTCATGTAAATATCAAATATGAGGCTGTAAGTGTATGCTTAGTGTAAAGCCTTACAGAGAAGGTCTAAAAGGCAGGAATCCTCATCAAATGTGTTAGCAATCATTCCTCAGAGTGACTTTTTCATAGTGCAGCACCTCTCACTCTCTCTGACTCTGTAGGTTTCCTGCCTCTGTTTCTTCACCTGGAAACAGTTGGACAGAGGGGGAAAAACTACAACCTTAAACCAAACGATCGACACTTGATGCAAATGAAACCTCAAAGAGCAGCAGTGTCTTACACCTAATTTAGCGGTTTACATGGTTTTACACTTCCTCTCTGAGGCGGCCTGCAGATACTCTGAGCCTGCTAACACTAGATACTCCTGCTGACATGTGGATCACATTGTTACTGTGGTTAGTAGAATTAATGAAGCTGTTTTTCACTTTGTTTTCACAGCGAGTTAAAGAGGAGGGGGAGGAGGACGGCTATGAGAGAAGGAGTGATGTCTACAAAGACCTGCTGACTCTCCTGAAGAGCAGATCTCCACAGTTTGCTGAAAACATGAAGGAGCAGGTACACACACACACACACACACACACACACACACACACACACACACACACACACACACACACACACACACACACACACACACATAGACCTCCTCATATTTTCTTGAATTTAACCTTCAGAGTTCAGCTTTGTGGGTGTTAATGTGTCTCTGTCTAATGAACCAGGTCCTCCTCTTTAACTCTGGTTTGATCAGAGATGTTATGTGACTCATGTCCATTAACAGTCAGGATCATGTAATCAGTGCCAGTGCTGCTCTATGCTTTCAGCAAATCTCTGCTCGTTACTATGTTGAAAATCCCTGAAGCGACCTGCACCGTGTTCCCAGCATCAAAAACAGCCACCATCTCACCCACCACACACCCCCTGACCCCCCCCCCCCCCCCCCCACGACCCCCCAACACCGCGACCCCCCAACACACACACACACACACACACACACACACACACACACACACACACACACACACACACACACACACACACACACACACAGGCTTGTTTCCAGACGCCGGAGTTTGTGTGATTTTGTCAGTCCTGCTTTAGCGATTTGACGACTTGACAAATCTTTTCAGTAATAGATTCCAGCTGCAACCCAAAATCTGTTTATCATTTTAGATATGATCACTTTTTCTCCTTCAGGCTGATGTTTGCTGGAAAATACGGCATCATCACATGAGAATCAAAGCCTTTCAGACCACTAAGTAATCACTGCCGGCTCAGTGTGGTTATCAATTTTCTTTGGTGAGAGGAAGAAAGGCACAGAGTTTATCCTGAAAAAATCACATCTACTTTTCTGTTTGTAATGAGGTCACTCTCACAGGAATAACACAGCACAGAGGCATCTCTGCTGATTATTGTTTTTCTTTTGAGTTTGTCTTTTCAAGCCTGTTCATCTGACAGAGCTGTTCTGGATGGGAGGAGGGCTGAGTTTACGGAACTACAAAGACATGGCTGAGGTCTGTTCCTCTGTTAAACTTTAAAGCCTCTCTTTGTACAGCGATCGGCATGAGCTGTGCCCTGTGTAAAGTGATAATCAGCAGGTGTTAGCTTGCTTACAGTGTAAACTTAGATGGGGAACTTGATTCAAGTTATACAGACGATTCATCTAGCCAACTAATGGCATTTTGACATAAACAGTGGTGAACAGGCTTCAGCCCTCCTACAGCAGATATCACCATCATCTTTCTAAATAAAAACTGCATTTAACAGCAAATCAAATCGAAGACTCTCCAATGTTTAACATTATTCTGTTATTATGTAAAGGATAATGTAGTATAATTATCATACTGTAAATATTCACCATGTATAATTTTTCAATCTTACTGTAGTCGGATAGGTGGACAGAAAATCATATGTCTCTTGTGGTTGTATTTTACAGAGCCAAATATTTTTCCATCAATATTAAAAAAGAAACAAAAAAACATTTCTTAATTCACAATTCTGATATCGGTGGACCACTACTCCAAAGATCATCGCATTAGCATCATCACAGCTTTGTTGACTTCTTAACTGGTTATTTAAGTGAAGTATTTGTCCCACAGCAGACCTTTATCTATGTATGAATTGTGAAAATGAAAATTGTACTTCAACTTCCCTCAATAGTTTGTTTAATTGAAAATACTACGAAGGGCCTCCAGATTTTTCTGTCAGTCTGGGTCACCTGTCGAGTAGCTTAGCATGATTAGCAAAACTTTTTATGTGTCTAAAACTGATGTCTGTGAAAACCCTCATTTTACCTCCTCTGGCTAAAACACTTTCTTTTGGCACAGATGGGTGTGTTACTTTTTACACAGCTTCACAGTCACATATCCACAACTAGCTGCCAGTTCATCCATGTTAGCATTTATAAGCTGAAGATGTTACTATTTACACAGCCCCATAGTCCTGAAACAAGCTGAAATCTCCCCCATTAGCCGCATAAACTGTATGTTACCTTGCAGATTAACATTTTATGCAGACTGGAAGTCAAAAAATATATTCACAATAATGTTTTTGCAGAAATGTCTAAGGCTAGTGTCCTGTTTTGGTTTAAAAAATGTAAAATAGTTGATGTTTAGCGTTCTGACAGGAGTCTGAATTATCTTATGATTAAGAAGTAAGTGATATTTCAGAGGCAGGAGTTTTGTCTTTTTAGAAATAGAACTGTACAAAGACTTCCCTGTGAGTGTTGCCTTGTCTGTAGAAATGTGCCTCCACAGTGTCTATGAGGTTTTGATTGGTCCCTGTGATTCCCTGAAGATAGTATAAAGATGTTTTAGTGTTAGGAATGTGGTTAGAGAAGACTTTAATAAACCAATGAGCAGTGCCAGGCCGAAGGGTGTGAAAAAACATCCAGGCGTTTATATTTTATGGGCAGTGTGTGAAGAGTGATGCCCTCAGACTGAAGGATCTTAAAGTGATGGACAGCTGCAGTAAAAAAAAATTACTGTGAAGTCGTTTGAAGAGGCACAAATCACTCAGATTCTGAGTCTGCTGGATTGTCTTTGATATTCAGCGTGTCCTGATGCTTCAGTTTCTCGCTAATCATCCTCATATGAAGAGGTCAACTCGAAAACACAACGCTTTGAAACTCGTGATTGATTTCTGATGACAGCAATCAAACGGAGCAACAGGCATCCTTTTCCTAAGACATTTAGTAATTTCGTTCATTCTTGACATAATCCTTTCAGCTGTAATTTGAAGGCTCAGCGTTCACGCCGTCTGTCAGAAACACTGTCTCTCATATCTGCAGCTCTGTCTCCTGATTGCAGCTCAGAAAACTGAACCTGGAAAGTGATAGCCAAAGATAACAACACCTAATCTCCAAACATATCTGCATGTATTCCCAGAGTGAGGAAGCCGCTCTTTCAAACAGTTCCATGACATGAGACAGCTTCAATCAAACAGGCGGAGGCAGCCAGAGGAGAGGAGGCTGCAGCTCAGAGGAAAAAGACTGGCCTCCTCTGCTCTGGGCTGTGGATTCATTTTGACATCACAGCGTGATTGGAAATTGGACATGCTGCGTATTTGCATGCAGAAAGTCCTCACTGAGAAGCAGAGAACTCCCTGGTCGTAGATTTGTTTTCCTTATTCACATCCTGAAATTAACATGGACGGTCTTCCTGTCAGAGTCAGTCTGGAGAAACTTCTTGAATCTCGCCACTGACAGATATTTTATGGCCGATGGCTCCAGATTTGCTGCCCTGTTGCTTTTCCATCAGCATGGATTAAGAAATTACAAACACCCCTACCACAAACACATGTAAATAGTTAAGGTTTTATTAGTGAATGTTTGGAAAAATGACAATTGAAAGAATGAGGCTTGCTCAGGAATGTCACTTGCTATAAAGCCCTGAGCCGTCAGTCCTGTTGAACACCAAGCTTTTCTGCAGGCCTGCAGCACTTCAGATGCAGAGTCACCTGTAAGAGCTCTTTTTACTTTTTACTGCAGCATGTCCAGGACTTTGGAGAGTTTCCTCCTGTATGAGCACATGGACTTTATCCATTTCACATCTAATAGAATTTAACCTGGTTTGTTAGCCTAATAAAGTCAGACTGAGGGTCTGAGGCTGGGTGAGTTGACTTGTATGTTGCCAATAGCAGGTCACTTTGTGTTTCATGAAAAACAAGTCATTGGAAAGTGATCAGGCAAGCTTGGCTGCGGGATCTTAATTCTTTTTCCTCCAGCCCCTAAAACCTGTCAAGCCCCTAACAAACAATGACAGTCTGAGCTGTTTCTGCAGAGCAGGTGTCTGTGATTAAAAACGCTCCTGCCTCCAAACCATTCATATGTGTCTTATTGGCAATCATGTACAGGCTGTTAAATTGGTATAAAGACCTTCAAACCTTAAAAAAAAAATTAAAAAAAATCTAAATAACAACGGCACAAAGGCGTTATTTTGTCAGTGCCAAGCTGTACAGTTATATGTGGAGGAATGTACAGAAACAATAAACTTCTGATATTGTTCAGCCAATCAACAGAGAGGGACAGGGTTTATTTTAAGCCCTGGGTAAAAAGTGTTATTTTACTCAAAATCCTCAATAAAGAGCGGATTGTTCCTCAGGCCTGCACAAGGCTTTTATAGCAGTTTTATGTTTTTCATGCGTCACTGATGCTGCTCTGTAGTTTTATATTCTTTTTGGGGTTCACTTGCCAATACTTTACATTTAAATCTAATTTGTCACAAATATTCTGGAGAGGGTTATCATGTCAGGTCGTTGTTGAATGAATAAGACCCACATCTTCACAACAAAGTGAAGTGAACATTGCAATGGTTATACTTTACAAGCGCCATTCAGAGGAATTTATAACCTAGAAACATATGGTTTTCAAATTGATTGTATATCTCCCCAACAGAAATGTAGAGCAAACTGAAAGAGGACTTTCTCCTCACTCTGTAGCTTTTGTCTTTTTCCACTTACCAACAGGATCCTGCAGCTCAAGAGCTTCCATCAACACAACAGATCCAGCATGTGGAACCGGTTGATGTGAAGGAACAAGGCCAACCCCAGAGGTCTTACCAGCAACAGGAAAAGAATGTGCATGAGAAGAGGAGACAACACACGCCGCGCAAAACAGGCGGCAGGAGGAAATATGAACCCTGTTCAAGATGGAGGGATCTCCGTCTCATTGCACCATGTGGGTATGTGATAATCCTCGCTGTACGATGTGCTCTGTAGTGTCGTCAGACTGAAGTGTGCCCCGGGAATCCCTCTTGTTAAAGAGATGAGCTGTGCGTGATGGTGATGCCAAGCCTTCGTCACATGTCTGCCAGCATCCCAGCATTCAAAGACAGGGTTATATGCTTTATACATCTCAGGGTAACTGCAGATATTCCTAATTGCACTTTGATCTGAGTTAATAACTTTGTTAGCGGTGCTGAGACCCGTTCTGCTCAGTTACAGACAGAAATCTGGGGAAAAAGTCTGAGAAAAAAATCCCTAAGTGATCTATCACATATGGTCTCTGATTGATAAATAGATTGAGCATGGGCTGAGCTGCTGCAGCTGTACCTTATGATAACTGTACCCATTTGAAGAGAAGCTGGCTCGAGATAAAAGTCTCTCTATTGAAAGAAAATACCGGCTGAACCCTTGTCTCAAATTGTTAAATAATGATTATGTTAGGAAAATAACCATTTTCAAAATAGAAGTGGGCATAATGGCTCTTATTTCACATCATTACAGGAAAGCAGAGGAAAAGAAAAGCAGTAAGAGCTCTGCAGAGAAGAAATCCAGTGAAATCCAGAAGAAAAAGTCTGCAGCGGGAGCCAAGAGCAAGACGAAATCCGAGTTTTCTGCATCCTCTTTACCTGTCCTACGCCTGTCCTCCCAAATTAAAATGTTAGTATCTACGCTTCATGTCAGATCCTGTCAGGAGTGTTCCTGTGAGATCTGTATGAGATTCAGGAGCTGAAATAACGAGCTGAAAGATGTTTCTTTTTTCGCATGGTTGCACAGAAAAACCTGCAGAAAAAACAAACGTACGTATTTGTTTTTTCCTCCTCCACTTCTTCAGCTGCATCTGCCAACATCCACACACTGATAGCATCATAAATCAACGCTCTGTTTACTGATAGCTCTCTGTGCAGCTCATCACTTAGTGTAAAGGCCATAAAGACCCCGGGGTGCATCCACTCAGTCACAGCTCTGCGCACCACCCAGGAAAATGCTCTGGTCTTCCTCTTCTTTGGCGTATATCATGTGGGTTTGTGGAAAACATTCGCTCATAATGCTGGCTCCCTCTGATATTAAGCTCCCCTGGCAGTGCTGTTCCTCCATACATGGAAACTGTCTCTCAGTGGCCCCATTTGATTGTGTACCAAATTTCATTGCTGCGCAGCGCACAGATTTCATGATGCTGTGATCCAAGTGGCCGAAGCTGCTCTGAAAATCCATCTGCTCATTTGTTTGCATCGAGCCTCTGCTCTGTGTTTGATGATGACTCCAGCCCTCTCATGACCTTTTTCAGTCTCTACTCTCTGCTACTGAGGTTCTGAAGAGGTCAGAGCACTTGACACTTGAAAAACCTAATCTTTGAAGTATCTCCTCATGTGGGATGATCTGGCTGTTTTTTCATCTAAAACAGGAAAAGAGATTTGCTGATATCATATTCCTCTCCTTTTGTCTGCTTGTGTATTGTCTGGTTGTTGTTCTATCTGCTCAGTGTGATGTGAGGCCTGAAGTGATCTGCTATCTGCTCTGTTTGTTCAGTAAGACCCCAGCAGGAGCCATGCAGGACGCCTACAGTGAGAGTTCATCTGAGAGCGAGGAAGAGGAGGAGCAGCTTGAGCGACGACCAGAGAGCAACACAGACCTGCCGTCCGAATACTGGCAGATCCAGAAGCTGGTCAAATACCTCAAGGTACAATAACTCTGCCCCGCACCTGATATGCAGTCAGAAAAGTGCAGATAATGAGATGCATAATGAGACCATATATCACACACATACACGCACGCACGCACGCACACACGCACGCACGCACGCACGCACGCATATACATACATATATATATATATATATATATATATATATATATATATATATATATATATATATATATATATATATATATATATATATATATATATATATATATATATATATATATATATAATATACATATATATGCTCACATGGATGGGGGTTGTTTAGATGTTTGAGGGTTTTCTTAAAGTACTTCAATTTGCTTTATGCTTTACTGTACTCTGTATGATTTAACATTGCTTTAAGGGGGTATATAAATGATCCCCCCACCCCACCAGTCTTCCAGAGAGTATAGGACCTGCCTGTAGATTCAGAGAACCTCTCCAAGCATGTGCTCAGTTGGAAGTTGGACCCCAGCTTGAATCTCAGCTGATTGAATAAATTAAGTGATCTTACCAGCAAAGGTTGCCCTTCATCCTTAAACTTCGCCATGTCCTATTTTCAAACTTTATAAACTTTATAGAAAGACTTGTGTTGTGTGAGATATCAAAACAAAAAGCAGAGGTAAACATCCAACTTAGCATGTGCAGTCAGTGACACCTCTGTTGGCACATGCCCAGTGCGGGGCTGAGGGATTCCAGACTGATTCCAAACTTTACAAATTTATGTTATTTAACTGAATTTAAAGTTTGTAAAAACAAATAGCACCAAGAACAAATTTCAAACTTATAAGATTAAAGATATAACATTTGAGGGGTATGATCAAAACTACTTTGTACATTAAAATATCAAACCATCAAACAGTCAACACTATTTTAACTGTGAGAGAGAAAAAATGATCTAGGGACAAATTTTGCTGACAACATCACTTTATTTCCTAGTAACAGCAGAGATCCGAGCAAATGTCCAACCTACAGCTATGCCCACACTTACAGAGGGCAAACTGTATGCACAGAAGATAAATAGGACCCTCCCTTACAAAGATCAAATTTGACCTGTGTGTACACAGGTCAAATGGGACCCTCCCTTACAGAGGTCACACTGTGCCTGCAAACAGAAATATTGCAGCTGCTGTTTGTCTGTGTAGTCATAAAGGTTGGAAACTCCTGCTTAAGTCCTCATTATTGCGGTTAGTTTCTAGATATGGTGAACTCTGCCTCCGTTCTTGCTGTTGACCTTCTGCTGTATTAGTCAGTCAGTGTCCCTCTTGAGGGGAGGAGGCTTTAACACTAACACTTTAACGCAGTAAAACCTTAGTGTGTTGTAAGCATATTCCTTTATAACCCTCAATCTCTACATTAGACAATCTTCTGTTTTTAACTGTTTGAGTTTATTTGCTCCACTTCAAAACTTCAGACTGGTTTAGTTTAAAAGAAGCAAAGGATGATTGGAGCTACATAAGGCAGGCTGTGGCAGATAAAGCCCGTTGAAGCATCTATTTGAAGCTTAAATATCAGTTACCTTCCTTTTATATAAGACATAAAGCCACCGTACTGAATATTTCAATTAATTTGGACTCTATGTTCATTTACACTCAAGAGGCTCATGGTTATTAACATAGTCGGACGGATGTAAAAGTTACCTGGTGTGACTTTTTTTTGGTCGCCTTTTTCCTCTCTAATTTTTAATAACCAATAATACACCAGTTTGATGTTTTGAAGACGCAAAAACTGCAGTGCAAGTGTTAAGGGGACTTCCTGCAATCTGATGGTTATTTCTGATCTGATTACATCCTTTTCATCTTTATAATCAAGATCGAGCTGCACCCACCTCCTAATTCTGAAAGAGAAAACATCTTTGGTTGCACAGACACAGATACTTTCTGATCCCTTACAAACATGTGATGGTTACAGAGTGTTGCAGCAGGAAACAGTGAAGAGTGGCTCTTTTCCTGTCTTCCAGACAGGAATTTTGACGTTGTCCCCAGTTTGTATTTAACTTGTCAAGTGTGGATGCAGGAAGGAGCTGGTATTAAGAAAAGTAATTTTCTCATCACATCACCCCGCCATCATGTCAGCTCTGTCCGGGTCACGTTGTCTTTTCGGGGTGTTAGATAAAATGGAGCATGGGTTGCTCCTCATTTTAGTGGCACTTTGCAGGAGGATGCTGATTGAAGTGGTGAAGTGGATTCCTGGTGGCCTGTTTGGATGCACATGTGGACCAAAGCACAGGCAAAGAAGCTGTCTGATGGCAGCAGCTGTACACACTGTTTGCCCTCACCACAGCAGAAGCATAAAAATGAAGCGCTCCCTGTGATAGGTCTGACAGCACATATGGTGAATATTAATATGTCCAAACATGGAGGAATGAGAAGAGGAGCTCCAGGGACCCAGACTGGCTGGGAATACCTCAGACCACATCAGAGATCAGCCTACCTTACTCAGTCCTCCTTATTATCTCTTTATCTGGACTGTTTCATTCAGACAGATGAGATTAAAACAGGCCGAGTTCACTTTGTTCTGACACGAAGCTATGTGGTCATCTTTCACAAACCTGTCCCCTTTTATTAAACAGCAGAAACACTTAAAACTGCTTCACCTTTAACAACTTTTAACAGGACAGAGGAATCTGCATCATGTAGCTAAGGGTATTTTATTTTCTTAGTGCTGCAGCAGATTGTGTTTTGTGGCTAAAAACGAATGCTCATAGTGAAACCAAGTAAATCTTTTATAGAGAACTCTGCCCTCTGTCCAACTCCACTTAGATATTTTTGGCTGAGCAAAACAGAAAATAATAGAAGGAAATTCCTGCTCTGAATGCATGCTGTTGTTCTTTTCCAGAGAGGAAAAAAGATATGAAATAGGCTGATTTAGATTAAAAAAAGGATCACTGCTCTGCATGTGACATATTCTTCAGTGTGATTCGGTAGTAAATGTTCATTTTGAGCACATTCTTGCTTCACAAAGATGCAGCTCTGCAGCACAAACATGTCCCAGCTTTTCTATCTGTCTGGAAAGCTCACTGCAGAGTTATTTATGGGGTTTGTTCAGTAGTCATTTTATAATATCATTACCATCAGAGGCAGAAAGTCATGGTGAGCCAAGTTAAATATCTGTTTTATTTTAGGAGGAGCTCTTTTTCCCCTCTTCTCCTCGCTCTATAGACAGCCGTTTGTACTTGAGGAAGTCCAACACTTTTACTGATGTTCTGTTTTGTGTTTTAATGATATTTATGTTTGCCTAACTTCTGATGGGTTTGTTTTTCTACTTGTGTGACTGCAGATCTGTGTAATGCAACATGTTCACACAGCCTCTCACAGCATGTAGGTATAAGGCTGAGTCTAGTGCGTCTGAGTTTCTACAGGAGTTTTATGTCTGTGTGGGTACATCAATAACACACAGACATGGAAAAAGACATTTTACATCGAATGCATCAGTGCCATATTATAGGCAACTTTTTATCATACTTATATTTGGACATGTATACTTACAGGCTGTACTGATATACGGTCATACATAAAACATACAGACCTTCACTGCAGGGCTCCTCTGCAGTTTGGAAAAGTCAAGAATTTAATTTTAGTTTATCCAGAGCTGCATAAGCAGAAAATAAGAGGGTACAGAAAAGGTCCTGCTTTTCAGACAGTTGACCCATTCTGCTTTTTTCAGTGATTTTATATATACTCTTAAACTCCTGTTTAGCTTCCTTAAATATATATATGTATGAGCTTTGTTACAATTTAGGTGAAAAGACTGTTTTCTATAAGGATCACATGTTCATTGTTTCATGGGAGAAAAGTGAATCAACAAAGCTGCTAAGACAAGTGAAAATCCAGAGGTTTGCACAGAAAGTCTATGAAGGAGCTCAGAAATGTGTGTTAATATTTAAGGATGTGAGTAAAAAACCTCGTCCATATTTAATACAAAACCAACTCATTGGAAATAATAGGTCTGTTATTTCTGAATTGAATTAAACTTAAATTTTCATAGATTTTTACTTGGGAAACCAAAAACCCAGAAAACCACCAATAAACAAGCTATAGAAACATATCTGTAACTTCACATTAAACATCAAACAGTAGCTCAGGATTTCACTTGTTCTCATCTATAAACTCACCTGCTTTAAATCAGGACAGGTGTCAATAAGAGACAAACTTTGATGAATCTTGAATGAAACTGGCCAAGTAAAACCAGGGATATTTCAGTCACGAAAAAACAAGACAAGATTAGATTTCTACATAATTAAACATTTTTCCATCCTGAAAGACTGTGTCTTTGATCTAAAAAGCTCTTTGCTTGTATTTTACATAAGATGGGTTATGATGTACACAATGATGCAGAGTGAAAATCAGTCATGTTTTAAAATGTCAAGCATTTTAACAGGCTAAGATAACCATAAATATATTAGATTGTCTTGACTTTCTCTTGTTTTTTTCCTTTAAACCCAAATATTCAAGTTGTATCTTTGTCTTTAATAATTGCAGTGGCTAGAACAGAAAACAGGTGTCTCTATTTTTATGGTTGTTAAAGCAATTTTGTTTCTCATTTCTCAGTATTTTTATGATGTTTCATTTGATTAATTCCAAAAACTAACAGCATGATGAGGCTTTTCTGGGCTAGTGGTCTATGTGTGTGCCTCGTAAACAGAGGACATGTGGGTTTGCTTCCAGCCTGTGGCTCCTTTCTTGAACATTCCTCTCTCTCTTCTGTTACCCACTCTGTCCTCTGTCTTAATGACATATTGACCATACTGGCCAGTCATCTGTCATTTCCAAAATCATTGTAGTCTCTTCCTGCTATTTTTGTTGCATAAACATGATGGCCCATCAGCATTCAGAGGTCTTTGTGTTCTCCATGCCTCTATGGTGGTCAGGAGTTTTTAAACTAGCCTCTGTTTCCCAATTCATAAAAATGTTCAGCTGCACCAGACCAAGGAGCAAAAAACCTGAGTTAACGGAGAAAGTTCAAACCAGATTTGTGGAACCAGGTTTCTCTAGTACATTTAAGAAAGAAAGAAAGAAAGAAACTTTATTGTCCCAGTGAGGGGCAATTATTTTTGCAGCATGCAGTAATAAAAGACAAGTACAATAGAAAAACAACACATCATTCGAAATCATTCGCATACACGAAGGTGTACAGATTCTCAGGATGGCGAGTCACAACAAGTTGTTAAAGTTGTTTATTCAAAGAAAGTCTGGGTGCACCATCTCTGGTTTTATGACTTCATCAGAATTATAAATGTGACCCGTGTATCCCTCTATGTATAATTATGTATCATTCTACACGTTACCCCAATGCTTCTGTTGGTCTGAATCTGATACCCAGCTTTTCTGTGTACATTTTGATTTATTCCTTAAACATACCAATCAAGTATCCAGTCTTTTCCCACCTTGTTTTGTATCTTGTCTGGAGCTGTGCAGCATGATAATACTTCTGCCTTTCACTTTGTTAGATAAGCTAAAGCTTGTTGAAATAGTGAGTAGAGAAAGCCTTTACATGCTCAGTGAATTCACTGAGTATGTCAGTGTCCTTTGAGTGTTGTGACTGGTTGGAAAAGGACTAAATTCCCAGCTGCTGTTAATCATATTGGCTCGTAAGTTTCTAAACAGAAAACAATTTTCATATTTTTCCTCTTATAAATATTGTGTCTGATATTAAATATCTTACTGGTTAACATTTAAACATTTAAATATTTTGTTTAAAAAAAAAAAAAAAATTCCTAACATAGAGTTCAGAATGTTTTTCAGGAGTTTCACCGATTTTGTAACCTTTTTTTTTTACACCAAAAGGCAGTTTTCCTGCAGCTGTAAATTTACCGTCAGAATATGTAAACAAACAGAGCTGTGTTTAGTGTTCAGCCCTCATTAAGGTTGCACCCCCTCTGCTGGGCGGTGATGGTACTGCAGCACGGTCCCTCTCTAGTGAAATGTTCCGTCTCCACTGAAGAAAAGCCAGAACCAGCTCATTTCTCAGCTGTTTGCATCTGATTAAAGAGCATTTAAAATACTTCACAACTACATCAGTCAGTAAAACTGATTCATTTAGTGCTATTACAGAAAAATAAAATGTAAAAGTAACTGAATCGTTTTACTCTGAAAGACCTTTTTAGTTCACAGATGTTCTGGCATGCCCTGATCAGAGGGTTTAATGTTAGAAGTTATCCTCTGTCAGATATGGAGCACCAAACAAACTTGTGATCATCCACTCAGTCTTTGCTCTTTCTTATATAAATCAAAGCAGACTGGGTGTCATCTGCCTGTCATCAGTAACTATCCTTCTGTCTGTTGCACATAAGTATGAATGCATCCTCTGTGCCTCCACCTATTCTTCCACCTTACAAAGAAATTTGTAATGAGCAGCACAGACATGCACTGAAGTTAATGCAAAATAATATTATTGCTCAGCCTGAGACTCCTGCAGTAAGAAGACAAATGTGTGAAGCGTCTGAGGGAGTTTACCTCCTGAATTGAGTAAAAGACCTTACACTGAGAAATCAATATCAGATTTAATCACCTAATTCAGACATGGTGTTTAAACTGCTTTTTATTCTGATGGATGAGCTACTTTAAATATACATTTCTTTCTTTCTGTTGAATTACTCAATCACCATTTTGTTTCAGATTCAATCTTTGTGGTCACTGATGTATAAACAGTTAAAGAATCTTAAAGGCGAAAATTTTATATTGCTGTCTCAATATACCAGTTTGATGATAACCTTCCCTCTGGAAAAATAAAATATTGTTAATGTGCTTAAAATAAATGATACTCTTATTTCATAGTCAAACTCTTGTCTACACACGTCATTAACAAGGAGAGAGCGGAAACAGCAGCTGTCAGCAAGCTAGCTTTAGCATCACTCAGAGAGATGATTACACCCTTTTATAAACTGACATCCAAAAACTTGTTTTATATTCAAAAACATTAGAGTTTGTTCCTATACAGATACTGATCAACTGAACATTTATATTTTGTAAATGTTTTTTTTTTTTTTTTGCATGCATTTTTTAAGTCTGCAGCATGACAACATGTTTGAGTCCTCCTCTTCAGCTTCTAAGTACTCAAGCAGTCCATGCACAAGTCCAAGTCAAGTGGCAGGTCCTGAAAATCAAGACTCAAGTTGGACTTCAGCATTTCAGCGCGAAAGCACTAAAAAGAAATCAAACTCAATATTAGTGATTATTGATGATGGAAATGCCAGGGCAGTAGGTGAGGGTCTGCAGCATCTAGACTGAGCTAATGTATCCCAGCCAAAACGGTGCACAGATATTAAACTCCTTTTTCCAGTATCTTGTTCTGGGTGGAGGAGCGGTTGAATTAGTTCCACTCAGAGCATCTGCCCCGATCATGCTCACAGAGTCAAATATCTTTCACCATAAAAGACAGTCAGATGTTCCCAGTGTTTAAAAGAATGTCGACAGCACTTGAGGAGCAGAGCTAACAGAAAATGAAAGCACATGATCTGTTTTCTGTTCTCTCGCCTCTCACTCCTGAACATAGCTTTTCCCTTTTTTTGGTGTTTTTACAAGGTACGAACCTCGCCGCCCAGTCCTTTGAAGAGTGAGAGCGGAGGACATAAAGGAAGCAGCGGATCCTCTGCTGTTAATGGGTGAATGGTTCACATTTAGGCTGCATCATGATATGGAGAACACATGTGGCTGTCAGCCCGCTGTGTCAGAGCGCTGCTTTGTGAAGTAGATCTGATCAAACACTTGAGTTTGTGCTGGAGTTTTACACTGATGAGGCGGCCCTCCAACAGCTGCCTGAAACACATTATAGGTCCTGTTATTCTTCATACACGCAGACTATTTTCTACTCATGTCAGTAGCTGATAGCTGGGTAACTTACCTTCTCATGTTTGGTTGAAAAAATCCACTTAGGATATTAAAGTATAAAACGGTTTTTGAAGTGTGTTAGTAATAAAAGCACAGAGTTTGGGTTTGTAGATGTGGCCTTGAATCTGCTGAATGGGGATCTTGTCTGTAGCACATTCAAACCACCGTGAAACAAGAATAATGTTTGACTGTTCACATGCCAGGGGATTTTGGAGTGGACGTTTCAGTGTCTCATATCAAAGCAGTGCAGCAGAGTTAGTGTTACAGCAGCTAATGTCACCGCTTCTACCATGAGCTTCTGTTTTATCTGAATACTGACTTTTCCCTTCATACTAATCAAAACCATCAAATGTCAGCAGGATTTGTCCTTATCCAAAGAGTATTAGGGCCAAAGAGGAGACCAAATGGTTAAAGGGAAGGCTTCCTTTACAAGATTTCATATCTCTGCACACTGAATCCATTTCTCAGGATTTTAGGATTAGTAGTCTGTAAGAAATCACAATCAAATTTCTTGTGCATTAACCATAAATTGGTTAAATTTCATGTGATGAGCAAAGCTCATAGGATACTATAAGAGTTTAATACAAGAGTGTAAAGTCACCATTTAGCAGACATCAGCTATTTTTCAGTCAGGACCACTTTCATTAAAAGAATTACTTACATGTTAAGTTATATTTACGGCTCTTCTCATTTTGCTGCAGGACAGAAAGATTCAGAAGATCTTTTGTGCCCACAGCCATTAGACTTTATAATTCTTCTGTAAATAGTAGACGACTTTTTGAGACATGACAAATGAGACTACAGACAATTGTATTTCCCTTCGGGAATAAATAAAGTTATTCTTATCTTATCTTATATTTGGTGATATGGCTAAACTTCCCAGCTGTCCACGGGCTTCTGTGAATTCCAAAACCCAAGGCAGGAAGGCAGGAGGAGCAGCAGCAAAGACCCCTGGCTCTTTTCTAAGGACTCCCTTAGGAATACCAAAGCGTAGGACAAGAGGAGCATAATTCCCCTCTGTTTCATGTGCATGGAGAGAATCAGCAAAGATCCCCATACAGAACAGAGTAGAATCAGTGACAATCCATTTGACAACGGTAAAACTAGACATTCTGGTGGAGGTGGGTTGCAGAGGAAGCAGGAAGAGTAAGCAGGAGGAAATTGTTTAAATTAAATTTAAAATAAAATTCTCGTTCAACAGCTAGAAGCAAAGAAGGTTATCAGCTGAGCTGTCATCTGACACAGGCGGACATGAGAATCAGCTGATGTACCAAGAGTCAAGCCGCACTTTTGTTTCCTGCCTGAACTGACACTACTCTCAATTTTATTCTCAAAGTGCAGAATAGAGGAAAATCTTCCTCCTCTCATTTTTTTCTCATCCCTGGCCTTAAAACTCTTCTGTAGTTAATTAAAGATGATTCAATCTAAAAATCTGGTGATAACAAAACAGCGTCCTGGGACCTCCAGGCTGGTATTTTAGGTTCCATAATGCTGTCAACATCCATCCACAGTTTGAACATTTACGTGAATTTACACAGCGTGAGGAGAAGTTAAAAAACATCTTAAAGTGTTCAGATACTAAATTTAGTCAAAGTCAGGTTCTGCATCAACCACAGGAGTCAGAAAGCGTCCACACATGCCCAGCCTTAAATCTCTGCATTGTTTGTTTTCTTAGTGAACACATTGTCACTAAGAGGCCGTAAAACCTGATCAGTTTTCAGATTTCTGCCAAATGTGTAAAGCTGCTTCACTTTAAATCACTGCACATGTTGACTTTGGAGAGTTGGAGTTACAGACTTGCTAATCGCTGGGGTGCCGGGCTATTAGAATATGTGAGCATGTAGCAACTGTCAAAACAGATTCTGCTTCAGAGGCAAACTCATCATTAGTTTCTGGGTTTCACTACACAGAGTGTGCTGTTCCATTTAAAGGTCATTGTCTAATAGTTTCTGGGTTGGCAGTGTTGTCAGAGCTCAACGCTTTGTTAGCAATAGTTTCTTTGCTACGCTGAACACTAAGCAGGCTGTGGTACAAACAAAACAACTCCAGCAGGAGTGTTAGAAGACAACAGAGGGAAAAGAAGCTTGTTTTCTCCTCCTCACTCCAAATGTCTGCTTAATATCTGATCTTTTTTTCTCCTCCTTGCTTCCTTCTTGTTTCCATATTTCAGTTATTCATGTTTGGCTCTTTTAATTCAGGAAGGCGACCAGACGGCCACAGTGCTCACCCTGTGCGCCATGATGGACCTAAATTTGATGCAGGAGACGTGCCAAATGGCCATCCGGGATGTAGGTGGCCTTGAAGTCCTCCTAAACTTGCTGGATACGAGTGAAGTCAGATGCAAAGTGAGTATCTGTGCCAGAGCTGAACCTGGATCGCCTGCAGGCAGGAGCTGAGCCTGCTGTGTGTGCCAGCCCGAGCCTTAGAAACCAAAACACCAGCACTGGTTTGAGAGCGTGCCTTTAAGACACGGGTAGCAATTACTCTGAGTGTGCCTAATGACATATGGATGCTTTGTAACCCAGCTTTTATTACTGGCTTTTGTCCTCTCTATTTTTAGAGGATTTGTGGGTTGTTGGTTATTAGATATTGCGGCATGATCAGATGAAAGCTTCTTGTTGGCATGAAAACAGTTTTTATGTGAAAAAAACAAAGGTTTTGAAATGAATGTCAGTGAGGACCAGTTTGCTTAAAGAGAACTGATTATTTACTTTGAAGGGGGGCCCATCGGATCGGCGCCCGTGTTAACCTATGTGACTGTTCGCACAGCACGCGCGGGGGAACGCCGCGGAACGGCTCGCGCTCAGGAGCGCTCTACTTTTCTCTCTACTTTTGTGCGAGCCGCGCGCGCCAATTGTAAAGTTGGACAGAGCAGATCAGACCACACAGCAAGTCGGGAACAGGAGATGCGAGAGATTTCGGTCAATTTTCAAAATAAAATATATTTCAATAAATTAGAAAAAAAAAAAGATTTACGGTGTTGCTTGCCTGTCAATTTTTTCCCCGATGAACTCGCACGCACGCACGCACACACACACACACACACACACACACACGCGCGCGCGCGCGCGGAGGGAGAGCTGCAGAGATTTAGTGACGTTAATGAGAGAAAGGAGGGGGACTTTATTACGGTAGAGTCAATAGCCTCGAGCTAACAAGGCTACACATACAACGGGGTCAACAGACTCCCCAATTCATTCGTTGTTTACCCCTATATAATAATTTAAAACAATACTTGAAGATGCTGCCAATATTTAATTTATGCATGACGTAATAAAACGTAGATAAATATTGATTTACCCATGTTTAAGGCGCTCGTAAGTGTGGAAAACTGAGGGCAGACGGAAACAGCCGAGCACTGCCGGGCTCAGTCGATGTCGGACCGGCGCGTCAGAGCGCAGCAGAATACGCTTTATGTGTGAACAGCCAAGCGCTCGCCGCGTCGGCCTCCTGTGTGAACCAGGCGGGGGGCGCACACCTCCCCCTTGGTTTCATGTGCATGAAAAGTGAAGGCAGGAACAACAGCAGTAAAGACCCCGGGGGACAGATAGGTATGAAGGGGCGAATGCAGGGAGACTATCAGCAAAGTAGTATACAGAGGAAGTGGGAAGTGTAGGCAGGAAGAGGCATGTTAAAAAAAAGACTGTTTTTAAATTGGATTATTGGATGGTTGCTGATAATCAACTGATGCTCTGTGGGTAGAGCTTGACATTGTGGCCTGCCTGAACTAACACTTAGCACAAAACAATCTGTAGGCATTGATTGTGTGTCCCTGTTTCCAGATTGGATCTTTGAAAATCCTGAGAAAGATCAGTCACAACATGCAGATCCGTCAAGCCATCGTAGACTTGGGCGGCCTGCAGAGCATTGTGAAGATCCTGGACTCACCTGTGAAGGACCTCAAGGCTTTAGCAGCTGAGACCATCGCTTATGTTGCCCAGTTTCACAGAGCAAGGAGGACTGTCAGGCAGTGTGGAGGCATCCAGAAACTGGTATGTATAAGAAATAACAAAAAGGTGGACAGGAACAGAGTGAGTGTTCTTGAGTACTTAAGTACATTTTTAGTATGTGTTCTTCACCAGAGAGGTAGACTTTTCCTCCTCTACAGCTGACAGAGAAATCTCCTCTTCTGTTCTTGTTACTCTCCGCTTTTGCTCTGCAGTCAGCTGATTTTGCGTCTACTATTAAACCTGATCCAAAAAGACAATAATCCGTTTTGATGTAGTTCTCCATGTGGTTTGTCTCCGTGGTGTTGCCATATCTGTATGAGGCATACCGTCTCCATGGTTGAACTTAGAACAACTGAACAGCAGACGTCGCTCAGATCAGTCGGTTCATTCAGTGGTGAATATGGTGGTAATAATAAAATAAAGTTATGTCCTACAGCTGCGTACTTTCCATTAAAACCTGTGTGTCTGTGTCAGCTGGTTAGTAATTTAGGACAAGCTTTTCTGTAACAGACCGCAGTGCCTCAGAAGCTGTGGAAAATCAGGCTGGTGCCCTCTTGGAAGTGGTCCCCATATTATCATTACGATTATTGAGATGTAAAAATCATATGCTGACTCTCTTGACTGGGCTCTGCTGTACAGAATCAGTGTCCCATCCATCCCATTATGCCCAGTCTATAAAACCAGTAGAATGTGTTGGAGTGAAATAGATAGAGTTTCCTCTACATCCTCTGGGCTGCATTCATGTTTGTTGACTGAAGGACCTGTGATTAAAGCCTCTGTGCTGCGTATATTTTCCTTTGCTCTAAATCGGATGTTATTGTGTACGCGTCACTCACGTGGGCAGATTAGTTTCACGCAATACTTGGAGACCACCTTTGAACTGTACTGTGTGTAATAGCTTCGCCTGCTCTGTCTCACCGGCCAGGAACTAAGGACTACAGCATTGAACGATGGCTATAAACCGTCACACTGGGCTTTTCAAACCTAACAACAACATCCATCCTGACAGTTTTCCACTCCCAGCATCCCCGGCTTTTTCATCCTTGCAGAGCCAGTAGTAATAGAATTTTAATTACACCCTTAATCACAGAAATAACCTGCTTTTCCCATCTGGAACCATCCATTATCACTCCAATGCTGCAAGCAAACCTCTCAGAGTCCTTGAATTGATGTCAAGTTCATCGAGTTTGTGCAAATGTGTGTATGTTTTATGCCTAAACACGTGTGGTCTGCCTGCTTGTTTGCACACATTTTCATGTTTGTGTTTATCCACCTCTAAATCTGGCTCTCTTGTCTCTCTGCTCAGGTGAAGCTGCTGGACTGTGTCCCAGATTTAGCCAACCTGACTGCAGACCAGGAGAAGGAGGTGGAGGTGGCTCGCTGTGGAGCTCTGGCTCTGTGGAGCTGCAGCAAAAGCACCAAGAACAAGACGGCCATCCGCAAGGCTGAAGGGATCCCTCTGCTGGGGCACCTGCTCAAATCCCCACATGAAAACATGCTGATTCCTGTAGTGGGCACCCTGCAGGAATGTGCCTCAGAGGTGAGGGGACACAGACTCTATTTTGTCTTTATTGTTTTTATTTTTTTAAGGGGCCAAAGAATGTGATAGGGATTGAAACCCTTAAGTCTGGGATATAAACTGTGAGAGTCTCTTTTATTAAAGATAAGGCTGATGACAGTCACCTACAACACTGAGACAATTATCCTAACAAGTCTACTGATGTGTTTGTTTAAACATGCATCAAAAAGGACAATATTTAAAAGAAGAAAGAATATTGATTGTTTATATTGTGTTAAACCATCATCACTGCCACTCTTTTACATACTCTGAATGAAACACTCATACCTAAAAAACATCAATGCTAACACTGACCAAGGGCTGTTTTCTGCCAGTATATGAGTTAAATAAACCTCTAGTGATTAAAGTAGGTCTTCCTGATATTTCCTGAAAATCACTTCTTAAATCAAAGTTCTGTTTTTGTGATACCAAAATTTGGTGTACCGTGTTCCTGATCTGGCTGAGAGCTCCACTGTGACCCTGTAAGACACCACTTTGTCACACTGTGACACTAGTTGCTTTCACACAGAGTCAAATATTCTGATTATAAACATTATATAAACACCTTGAGCAGGATAAACAGGCTCACAGTGACTGAAATATCAGGGACGTAGAGGGGTCATTAAACCCCTCTCATTAAGTGATCACAATAAAAACTGTGCCATGTAAACAGTGTTTCTGAATCCCCTCCAGCTGTATTCTTTCTGCACAAACCCAACATCTGTCTGACATACCCAGTGATCAACCATTTTAATTCACTTACAGAAGACATATGTCAAACTGGACAGCTCCAGATTTTGTTTTTCACAAAAATACTCAAAGAACTTGACAAAAGAAACACTTAGATGTGGGAAGATACACAACACAGACTGCTTGACAAAAGTCTGTGAGAAACTGCATGAAGCAGGGATATAGACCTGAGCATGTAGAGAGTTAAAAAATGGATGGAAAGTGCTGAAGACAAAGAGGATCTGATCCCACCTGTTTCCTATTTTACAACTGAATGGATGAAGCGATGTGAGGAAGACCTGCAAACGTCCCAGACAATAAACAGGATATTTATCTTCAGGATAAGGAGAATGTATGTATTTGGGCTTGAACTGGCAGAGGAGAGGGATGAGGTGGAAAAATGTCTCTTACGGTATATGCCACTCAGCTGCTCTGATCAGAGACTATCACACTTAGACTGATATCCAATCAGGATGAAGACATACTCTTAATGTTAACATGTCCACTGTTTGATGTATCTCTTCAGTGCCATGTATTCACTATGGTTTATTTTGACTAAAACGCTGTCCTGCGCCTCAAACACTTGATCATTGAGGAGAACATTAAATGTAGTAATTTTTTAAACCTGGGATAGTCTAACAGGTGCAGTGACTGTGTGCACACGGTTGACTACAGAACAAACAGTATTCTTTCAGTTCAGGTTTTTTCACTGATATTAGATAGTCACAGCTCATGGATGTTACTTTTCACTCAGTTTTACACTCAAAAAATGACCTGTCAGTTATGCATTAGCATATAATGTCCACTTAGCTCCCCAATACATCTGTTGTAATGTTGAGGGTCCTCCTATATGAACAGCTCCAGGTTTCAGTAACAGCCGAGACTCAAATCTAGCTTGTACCGGTCTTTGTTTCCAAAGGAGTCCTCAGTGACGCGGTGAGAACAAACAGCTAGATTATGTTCTGAAAACATCCTAACTTCCCGCTGTTTTCTGGTGCCTTCGTCTTCGGGAGAGAAAAAAGCTGAGACTTTTCTTCAGGACTAAAAAAAGACTGAGAGAAATTTAAAAGACATACTGAACCAACTGAGAGGAAGAGACGAGGAGTAGGAAGAAGAGGAGGAGGAGCAAGACGACTCCACAGGCCTGAAGTGAACATTTAGAGGAGCTTCTGGGTGAATGTGTCCTTTAATAAATCCTAATAAGGTTGCTGGGATTGATGTCATGTTCAGGCCAAGTCACAAAATGTTCAAAGAAGCTGACATCTGATTATATCAGGTTACATCAGGTTCCTTATTTTGAGGCTCACCAATGGTTCACATCTTGTGGTAAACCCTCTGTATTCACTCTGGTGAGGTCTTCTTATGGTTGTTGATTTTGACACACATACACCTCCCCCCCGGAGAGTGTTCCTGATCTGGCAAACTAGTGTGAAGGGGTTTTTCTTCACCTGGGAAATAATTCTTCTGCCATCTATCACAGTTGTTTCTCGGGGTCTTCCGGGTCTTTTGGTGTTGCTGAGCCCATCGATATGTTCTTTCTTTTTAAGAATGTTCCAATCATTTGATTTGGCCACACCTAATGTTTTTGCTGTCTCTGATGGGTTTGTTTTGATTTTTCAGCCTAATGATGGCTTGCTTCGCTGATAGTGAAAGCTCCTGATCTCATATTGCGAGTTGACAACAACAGATCTCAAATGCAAATGTCACACCTGGAATCAACTCCAGACCTTTTACCTGCTTAATTGATGATGAAACAGTAAGAGAATAGCCCACACTTTTCCATGAAATAGTGTTTGAGTTGGTCGTCCCATTACTTTTGGTCCCTTAAAAAGTGGGAAGCACATATAAAAACTGCTGTAATTCCTACACCATTACCCTGATTTGGATGTTAATACCCTTATATTAAAGCTGAATGTCTGCAGTCAAAGCACATCATTTTTGTTTTAGTTCAAATCCATTGTGGTGGTGTTTACAGTCAGAAACATGAGAACTGTGCCGATGTCCCAATATTTATGGACCTGACTGTATGTATTCAAATACAGATTAATATTGTGAATATTGGAGGTATAGAAAGCTTGAATCAGTGCGTTAATGTTATACATGTTGTTATCTGTTGTGTGTTACAGGAGAGCTACAGGATGGCCATCCAGTCTCTGGGCATGATTAAGGATTTGGTCAAGAACTTAAACAGTGACAATGAGGAGCTGCAGATGCATTGTGCCAGTGCAATCTTCAAGGTACTGTTTTCAGCTAAAATTCCTGACATGGATCTAGTCTGGAAAATAAAAACACAAGAGAGTATTGTAGTTTTTATTGGACTCCTTTGTCTCCTGATCAGATGCAGCCCTCAGAGGAATTGATCTCAGTCCTTCCTCTTCTTTTTTTTCTTCTACAGTGTGCCGAGGACAAACAGACTCGTGACCTGGTGCGCAGGTATAAAGGTCTGCAGCCGCTGGTTTCACTGCTGAGCAAGGCGGACAACAAGCAGCTCCTGGCGGCAGCCACAGGGGCCATCTGGAAGTGCTCTATCAGTGTGGAGAATGTGGCTAAGTATTACTGTGTTACCTCTCATTAACACACACACCAACTCCACATACCAGAGATACAAAAACACTCTGCAGCAGCAGAATATTCTGGGTCGCATAAATGTGAGGCTGCAATTAGTGGCAACAGATGAGGATGACTTTGATAAATCACTCAAAAATAGCAGGATAATTAGCATCAGAGTATAAGGAAGCCAATGAAGAACTTCAGCCACATGTTCCTGTACTTTAAGAACACAGGTTAGTGAAGGTGATGTGGTTTTCTGACAGTGTATGAGACCAGGACAGTAACAGGGTGTTGAACTGACTCGCATTGCACTACATTGTTGTCATCATTCCATGATCACATGTTATTTTTATGGGGGTCTCTTTTTCATCCGTGACTCTTGGTGTCAGTTTTTCCACTCACATGCTGGTGTAATATTCTCCTTTTTACAGTTTTGTCTGATTTAAGTGATTATTTGAGTAAAATGTGAAGTTTCTGTACAGATTCTGTCAGCTCTGGTCTCTAAACTGAAGGTTTGTTGCTTTAGTTGAATGTTTTCCACTATGAACTGAAGATCTGGTCTGTGTGCTGATTTTATGGACCTTTGTGATGTGTTTGTCAGGGTCTGATCAAACATAGACGTACAGGGAGATTAATGTTTTTTGTCCTGATGTCAGGAGACGCAGGCTGGCAGGGGCTTTAATCATTCTTCATGTAAGGAAAACATTTTACTTCAGTGTCACTTATCCCCGTTTCTTCAGCAGTGACATTTCTGGACTGGTTCTGGACTTGTACGTCAGTGTCAGATGATTTTTAAATCAGTGATTTTCCCTTTTGTGAAAATAGTACCCAGAAACCGTGCCCTGGCAGCTCCATAGGTTTCCACTAGTACTCCTCTGAAAGGATGATTTAGTGGTCTTTATTTTCTTATTCAGTGTGAGGTCAGGAGCACAACAATACAGCACTCTTGCAGTAATTTGATACCTTGGTAACATGCTAATCTATTGAAAACCAACTGTAGTCCTGCAAATCAAGCCAAGAAACCAATAAGTCATTGTCTCTTTATCAGAAAGAACAGTTTTCCATGCTGAGGAGAGATTAGGTGAAAATACTTTTCCTTTGACTCAGACATGCCGTGTAGCTCCGATTGCAGAGGATTTCTAAAAGTAACGAGGAACGAGCGGCAGCACTCATGAGGATCTCTCCTCACTCCATATATCATAACTGACAAGATGATATCCTGCATTTAAAGTCTAAGTTAAACCTCCAAACTGTAACTGGAGTGTCTGCTGCCACTTTGAGTTAAGTAAGGATTCCTTTACAAGAGCAGAGACATGATGATAACTCTTATTTAAAACAAGAGGCACAGATCACCAAAGGGTGTTTACATTAGTTTAGATGTCCCACTTATGAGTGTTATCCTGCTTTTTATCATATCTGTGATAGGATTCATTTGTACATAGAGAAACCTGGCTACTCGTGGTCCTGTACACATGATAAATACTTTCCTGAGATATTCTGAGAAATATGGCTTATTGCAGAGTATGCTTGCACTACAGTGCAAGCTTACTCTGAGTCCACCTCATGAGTCCACCTCATTCTTCAGTACTTCAGTACCGTTGGGAAATCATTTTCCTGTAGGCTTTGATTCCTCCTCCCATCTGAACTTCCAATTATGTTTTATTCTTTCATTACCCAAAGACTGTACTAAGTTTTTTGGTTGCACCTGCAGTGAGATGTTTTGTTGCTGCCACCTCTGTGCAGACAGTCAGCAGCTGTCAGAGGCTGAGGTCAGGTATTCAGTTTTCTTTCACAAAATGGTAGCAAAATCAGGTTTCTTCAAAACTGGAGTAAGGGCTCACACTGGTTTCTGAAATCAGGATGTCTGCATACAAGAATACAAAAATGAGATGCTTAAAAAAATAGTTTAAAACTGAGAGACTCAAGCCACTCAGGTCCTGATTCAGTCAGGATAGATTAGTGCTTAAAGTCCAGAGAATTGTGCTGTAAGCATCACCTCTCTTTGCTGCACAGAGCTGTGTTGTGCACTCTTTGCCTGACAACCACAAGTTATATTCACAAATATGGTGCTCTGGATGGAGAGGGACATCCAGTACCTGTTGATTCTGCAAACTCTGTATGATTGAGCCACAGATAGTCCCAGACTGATTTAGACTCTGGTAAGTATAAAAGTAGTAAAGTAAATTAATACGACCTGAGTTTATGTAGGATGCATTTCAATTTTAGGCCATCCAGAGTGGAATGGTTGTCTTGATCATTGGGGAATTTGAGTGTTACCTCTCCTAATCATCCTGCAGGACACATCTTCCAGCAGACAGTAAAATACTCACTGTATGCCTGTGAGGGAGTCAGAGATCATCCTAGATGAAGCTTTTTGCATAGACTGAAGCTTGTTTTAAATCCTGTAAAAGTACGATAACAACACTGATGCACAGTGATGCAGTTTTCTCTGCAGAGCAGTCGGTGGAGCAGTTCACTCGCTTGGCATACTTGTTAAATAAGATGATGTCTTTTCAGCTTGTTTGCACAGATTAAACAAGTGCAAAATCGTCAAAATCCTCCTATAAATCAGACCCAGACTGTCATTTTCAGGAAAATGAGTTGAGGGATTTTATTTATTTAAGGGTAGTTAAAAGATTATTATGAATAAATGATTAATGAAAGCGGCAGGACTATTAATCTGCTGGTGGACAGCTCCACTTTTATGGTTCTTAATAAAGTGTGTAAATTGGCTCCTTGATTTTTTACACTGATATGTCTTTGATAAACACACTGGCTCAGGTTAGAGCTCGTTTGACTGAATTTTGACATGATGATGAAATGAGTTTGCTGCACCAGGCCTGATTAATGTTGCAGGTTGATACACTTTGTGCCAACAAGGGTTCTCAGCAGTACGTAATGATTTTTCACACTGTTGCTATGTTAGATACTAAACATTACTGCAGGTTATACTAATAGAAATCATTTTAATAGTGCAATTAATCACATGGAAATAACATTTACTGACAGCTCATATTTGAACTGTCCTCTGTCTTAAAGTTACCTGTCAGAGAGGTACAGGACCAGACTATGAAGAAGTTCATGTTTTCATTACTGTGGGTGTTATTCTGTGATTTTACCGTGCCAACAGCTGGGTGTGAATGAAGGTTTGATTGGGCCACCATCATGACGCTGCTCTCAAGTATTTTAAGTAGACTTTAATGTGTAAGTGGATCTGTTTGGTCGTACTCTGTCAGGCTTATTCGAGCACTTGAAATGTCGAGATCAGGCGAAAGCCAGGAATGAAGTGAGAGAGAGGAAAAGCTGCTCATGGTCACACTATTTAAAGGGTGTGTCTTTACTGTCCTGAGATAAAAATCCATTGTTCTATATTTTCTCACAGCAGCAATAAAAAGCAGAAGGTCTTTTTCACTTCATTGTAGGGACACTAAAATCCAACTCCGATGAAACAGACCTTTTGGTCTCCGGCAGACAGCAGGATTTGTTTCTCTGTGAATGATGATTTTTGTGGTCTGGACAGTATAGAGGTTGATGGACCTCCACTCAAGACAAGTAGCAGCATGTGTTAGCTATTTACATGATTAATGATGCATCAGAATGAGAGATGATTGATGCCCAGAAACATAATTACATTAGAAACATGAGTGTGTTTGTGTAAAGACTACTCAGGCTCATGCTTTTATCACTATTACTGTATAACAGTGAGAACCCTTTCTGGACTTTGTGTACTCAGAAAATGCCTTTTCTGTGCATCTATGTGTGGCCCCACGAGTCGGCATACTGAGGTGTTACGGACACACAAAAATGCTGTAAAACTGCTAACAAAAGAGCGAAGGAATAACTCTGCAATGGAAAGTATCAGCTGCCAAGTCTCAGGCTGAAAGTGCCAGCACAGTAATGTTCGGGGTCAAGATTGTGGGGTTTGCCTCCACTTACTGGCTACCCCTCTGCCTTACCTCTGTTCCAGCTCTACGATGAGCATGCCATAATTACTCCTCCTAAACGCAGGAAAGTCTGTGCTCACCCAAGTTTGATTTGCTGTTAGTGATCTGTCCAAATTCAGGTTAAACAAGCGATACCTCTCTTGTCATGGTCGTTGCTCTGCGTCTCTGGGTGCCTGAAATGTCTTACTTCCACTTGGGCCTTCATAAATACTCTTGTATTACAAAAGGCAGCATTTAATCTTTCTGCACTTTGTTCAATTTGTGATGTGAGTAGACGAATGAGAAAGGAGAAGGCAGGCAATCAATCATAGAAATCTCCAGCACAGAAGCCCACTGTGGTTCCTATGTCTCTGACAGGCTTTAATAAGCTTCCTGATGTGTGCAGCTTAGTGTTTGGTGTTGAAGTTGCTCCAGGAAGCCCTGTGCAGTAGTACTCTGGTTGTAATTATTTCAGCTGGGATTGGCCAAACAAAAATAGGCATTACTTACTGTTCGTCTATCAAAGTAATGTCTGTGATTACAACGTCATTCTGCTGTAGTCGGCTGCTGATGATACTTCAGCGGTGGCAGAGGAAACCGTTGTTTGTGTTTGAGATGGATGCGACTGAAGTTACCTTTGGCAGCTCGTCTCTTCATTAGCAGTGTTTTCACTTGCAGGAATAGGCTGTTTCTTGCAAACTCGACCAAAACCAAATGACCCCGGCTGTCTATGATAGTGTACGTACCCTGATGCCAGTAACCGTAACTGTGAATAAAAACAGTCGTAGAACTTAACTGTACATCAGAGGTTTGTTGAGGTTTTGTGCTACCACATTATATCCTTTTAAATGTTTACTATAGTTTACCACTCTGTAGCATTGGCAAACAAGAGAAAATCACAGCAGAAGAGGGAGGAAGGGTTTCCAAGCCACAGCAAAGCTCTGGTTATGCAAACTAGGATTATGGGACAACTGTGAGCAGCCGTGGGAAACCTGCCTGTTCTGCTGGGTTACAGTTGGACTTCTGTGCCCATGTGGCAATGGAGAGGATATTTACACTTACACACCTCATGTGTGAATGTGATGACGGCAGCTTTGTGTGTTTGAAGGTGTGTCTGTTTGCTTGTTGGTAGTCAAGAGTGAAATATCCCAACAAGCACTGAAGGGAGAGCCATGGACGATATTTTAACTGAAATAATGGTCCCCAGAGGATATGTAATGAAGAATCTGAGTATTTCATTCTTTGTAACTATCACTTTGGTACAACTGTCCAAGACTCTCAGTAGACTATTCATGGTGGCAACCTCTGCTATTGAGGAATGAAGCTCGTACAAAAATGCAAAATAGATAAATAAATAAATACAAATAAAAATTGCAGTTCCTGGAGTGTCCACTTAAGGCTGTCTGCAGAAGCCAAAGAATCCCCATCAGTCTCGTGTAAAAATGGCAGTTTTTAATGCAAAATCAAACATGCTTACTGCCTGGTTCAAAATAGTTTGGGGTATATAACTCATTTATTGGTTCATACACACTTTATATACATATTTATATACTTTTTATACTTTATATCCCATTCCATGCTTTTTTTTAAGACAATCTAAAGGGGTAAGAGTAAATTTCATAATTAGGAGCATGTCAGGCAATGCTGGGCTTTAAAATTCAACAAATGAGTGACATTGCAGAGATTAAATCCAAAATTTGTATTGTATGTGTTCTCAGATGATACATTATATGGTATTTATATGAGTACAGGCATTTTAGTAAAGTGGTCTTATGATGTTTCATTGCATAGTTTGATAGCTTTCCTTTCCTGGATAAGGAATATGAAAGTCCTGTGCTCTGTCACATTTTTTCATATAAACATTTACGGTGTATAAACAGATAGCTGTAACACAAACAGAAAGTCAGCTTTAGTTGTAGCATCTTTATTTTCTGTGCTAGTTGGCGTATTTTTGGTTGCTGACACTAAAAGCACAGTAAAGCTTGAATAGCATCTACAAGTTGTCACATTCAGTCAGGATTAATTTCATGAAAGAGGACTATTTAACTTAATGCTTCAAGTTAGGTTTAGAGGTATGGCACCGTTCTCAGAGTTTTCTGCTAAAGCTTGAGGCAGGGAGAGCACACCTTCCCTTCTTTTCATGTGTATAAAAGCCAAGTCAAGGCAGGTAGAGTATAAGCAAACCTCCCCACCCCATAGTTCCACTCTGAGAGCTGCCTGCCTTTCTACAAGCATTTGTGAAATGCCACAGCTAAGGCAGGGAGAGTGCACCACCCCTCTTGTTATATGTGTTTATCTGAAAGCCAAGGCAGAGAGAGCAGCAGCAAAGATCCTGGGTACAGAACAGAGCAGCATCAATGAAAACCCACATGACAGAGTGTAAAAAGAAGGACAGGCAGGGCAGCAGCAAAGACTGGATAAAACAGTTCAAATAGAACAACCAATTTAACATTTGATGACTTGAGGACTGGAAGGTAATTGGCTGAGGTGTTAGCCGACATGAGCCGGTCAAATTGCAGGTTTAAAATGATTGTTGTACCTTACCTCAATCTTTAACAGGTTCCAAGAGTACAAAGCCCTGGAGACCCTGGTCCGCCTGCTGACTGATCAGCCTGAAGAAGTGCTGGTAAATGTGGTTGGAGCAGTGGGAGAGTTCTCCCAGATTCCTGCTAATAAGGCCATAATTCGAAAGAGTGGAGGCATCAAGTCACTGGTGAACCTGCTCACTGGAACCAACCAGGCATGTGTTACTCTGTCTGTCTGACTCCATTGTTCAAACATGCTCCTGTGCTGACTTATGCATGTAATTGTAACATGTTCCATCTAACCAGGCTCTGCTCGTGAACGTTACCAAGGCCGTGGGCGCCTGTGCCACAGATATGGACAACATGGTGTAAGTATCTCTTTAACCTGCTTACATGCCCTTTTACATTCAGAGTGCAGTTTACACTGGGCAGACAGCCCCATGTGAGGTGGCTCTTACAATGAGATTACTCACTTTTATTACCAGATCAGCTCCTGACATGTATTCTTAGACATGTACTGATGTCATGTGTTATGAAAGGGAGTGACACCCACTCAGAGACACAAATACAGTGTCATTAAGCTGTCATGAGCTGATGCGTAAGGAAATTTATGCTCTTTTAATGTATTATTGTGCAGGTACTTTTCTCTTTCATGCTCTGTTTAATGACAGGTTTTAAAGACTTTGTTTATTGTACCTGCTGTGTTAAATATGGTTGTGGTTTGATTCCCAGTGCTTTACTATAGCTTTGTGGTCACCGTCAGGACTGAAGCTGGTCAGACGAACATATCTCCAGCCCTACCCTGTCCGAAAACTACACGGCTGGGAAAAACAGAGTGAACCACAGTCCAGAGCAGTCTTTGTTCAGTGTTCATTTAACCTCACTCTCAATACTGCAGATTACTGTGGAGCTTCCATCTGTGCCTCATTGCTTTTACAGGGTTGTTATGGACTACAAAACCCTTCTTAATTAGAACTGGACACGAATACGACTTAACGACTGAGTCTTTTGCTGTTAGTTAGCTGTTAACGCTATCACATGAGCCCATTAGTTTTGTTTGGAGAGAAAAACCAAGGGGTTCAATAAAAAGTGAAGCATGTCAAAATGAAGCCACTGAGTGTGTTAAACTTCACACAGATGGAGAAGTGTTTGACATGGTTCATCATGTTCTCCATGTTTTCTCACGGTGTGTATATTTAGACCAGAACTTGTAATTTCTCAGCCCTCACACACAGCTGTAAACAGAGACTTCTTATTTCAGCAGCATGTTGTATGTTTTGTGGGGTCGGCTTATTTTGAGACATGTGTGTATACAGAAGTTTTCTGAGCCATTAACATAACTCACATTTGATTGTTTCCTGCTCAAACTCAACACTACTGAGGCTGTTTTTCAACCCCTGTGATTAGAAAGTGTTAGGCGTGTCTAACACAAATATGATGATATATGCAGGAAAACACACAGTCAGCCTCAAAACTCCAGCCGGTTAACGGGATTTTATTCAGCTAACAGTAACTTCCACTGATAAGACCAATCTCTATCTTATCACAGGAGCTATGAAGGTCCTGAACAAGCACAGATCACCTTCAGATCCTGCATGAAACACTAGTATGTTTGTTTTTATTCCTGACCAGCAGGCCGAGGGCGGTTCATGACACAGCATTTCCTCCCATGAATCCTGTGTAGCTACAAGAGTGAACACACGTCGTTTAAAGCCTCCAGGGTTTGTGGTCTCCTCCTCTCATCCATCACTGTCACTTGCAGCTTCGTTGCTAATCTCTTTCATACCTGCTTCATGGGAAGAGCGAGCTGTTTTGGCGGATGATATGACGCTTCACTTTTGTTTTTGGTCGGGGTTTAAGAGGCCCTGCAGACTGGGATCTGATGTTATGATCCCTCCAGACTGATTTATGTGCAAACGGAAGACAGATGACGCAGGGACGTCCCTGATGAGTGTTCGCTCGTTGCCAGTCACGGAGATACCGTGATTAGGGAGTGTTTAAGTAATTATGACAGCGTTCAATGTCGGCCTTGTTGGTGGAAGCACACATGGGGAACACGTTACATGTTATTTATACCAGACAACGGGCGCACTGTGGTGTAATTCTTTGGGTTCCCAGACCCTGACTGCAGTTTTGAATACAGTCATGTATAGGACATGAAATACAGCTCGTGCCTAAGTAAACTTCAGTCAGACCCCATGAAATATAGAGCGACCTGTCTCTGGCTGTGTTTGATTTGGAAAAGCTCCTCTTTTTGGCTTTGCTTGAAAAACAAGCCACCAACATAAAGTGTAAGTTTGTCTCAGTTTCTATTTATAAACCCGTGTCTGCAGCAGTATACACAGATGTATGTAAGTTAACCTCTGGCTCCAGCGTCGCTCCTCAGAGGGTGATTTAAGTGAGTAGACAGTGGGTGGGTTTCAGGCCTGCAGAGTAGAGCAGTGCTGAGGGCAGGTTGTAATAAAAGGCTGAAAACCTGAAATCGATCGACTCTTTGATCATACTTGGCTGCAGTCGTGGTGAACCTGCTGCTGGCCAGCTGAGGCAGAAGAGTTTTACCTTCAAATCTGTTCAGGAAAACATATACGCTCACTGAAAGATCTGGTTCAAATCTCAACACGATCGTTTCAGTCTTGCTGATCTTTTCTCCATCATTAATTCTTGTCTTCCTCTGTCTCTTCACAGGATTATCGACCAGCTCGATGGCGTCCGCCTGGTGTGGTCTTTACTGAAAAACCCCAGTGCAGATGTTCAGTCCAGTGCAGCCTGGGCTCTATGTCCATGCATTGAGAATGCAAAGGTAAGGTACAGAGGAGTGATTTGACCTCTCTCTCTGACCTTTGGCATTGGGGTGAAGCCCACCAAAGGCCCATCGATATCCTCCTAATCAAAGAGGTCTGTGTTGTTTTAGAATAAAGGGTTGTCCCACTCAAACAATAGGAGCTTCCTTATATCAGCAGGCCTGTCTTTGAGCTTTCCTTCCAACCTGCTGCTGCTGCTGCTGGGGGGGTTAGTGGGGGCAGAGCTGTTTCAGAGGAGGCTTACATGAACCTCAGGCTAATATGAAGCAGAGGAGCCTCCCTGGCACACAAGGATTGGTGAATTGGGAGAGAGGCTGGGTAATATCCTGTGGCATGGCTTCTGATTTCCCAGCTGAAAATCCTCCCTCAACATGCTGCTGGTTACAGAGGCACACTGTCTTCCAGAGGGAATCAGACGGTTTCTGTGAGACTGACTGCTCTAATGAAAACACTGAACAAATGGATTGCAGAGGAACCCACAACATTGCCATGAATACAGCTCTCTTCAAGACATGAAGCAGGGGTTGCTGGGCCTTACAGTGTGTTATGTTTGATGTGCATTCTCATTTGCTCTCTAAGGGTAAAGGTCGTTACACATCGGCGAATATGCAAAGCGAATAATTCATTTTTTTTTAAAAACCTCATAAAGTCAGTGCAAGCTTCCACACCGGCTACGAACTACTGCAGAGCGAAAAAGCAACTGTAATTTTTTCTGCCCCTACCAAATTTTGCAAACATTCAAGCCGTTGCTCTGGATCAATCACCTCGCTGTAATTTGTCCTCTCCTTTTGCAAACGTGGAGTTCTTGAAATTGTCCGAGGGACATCCTGAAGTATTGTCGGAGTTTCTTCAGCCTTTTCCTTTACCCCCAGATTTCACCCTCAGAAGACCTTTCATCGTATTGCATTTTTACACAGATACATTCAACATACCAAAGTTGTCACAATACCATATTTTGATTGATACACCAAGTTTGAATTACAGTACTCAAAACTGATATGAAACTTGTAAGTAAAACAGTTCTATCATGATACTCAATAAACTCCAGAACAGCTGGGAGGAAATTGTGAGGGAGCTAAATGTTAGCTGCTTGGACGCGAAGGAGAAAATCTACAGTTGCCAGTTTCTCTTTGTTTGTTGTTGTCAGAAACTTTTGACTCCGGCCTGGCCCCTGGTGAATGTAAAAGTTAACATCCATGCTAACGTAAAGGATGCATGGAAGTATGTGGGCAGTGACGGAACCATTGTTTGAAACAGATGCGTACATTTTCATACGCATCATGAGCATTAATGAGCCCTTAGACAATCTGAGCTTACACAGAGTTTTACGACTGTACCTTTCAGAATAAAAGTGATTACATTGTTGCTACATTATTTTGTGTGCTGTGCAACACCATCCCATACAGAATGTTGTTTTCTTTAAAGTACGGTTCAATTCAGGCACCCAAACTCTGTTGTTAGGCAGACAGACATTTCAGCTTTACAGTTTAGTCACACATGGGTCTCATTAGTCTCCTGGTCAAAAGAAAAACAGCTTTGTTGTTCGTTCACTGCTGCATCATTCAAAACCATGGCTTGTTAAACTGAGATTTTTTAAGGAGTCCGAACATAGCAGAGCTGTTGGAGGCCAAGTTGCATAATCGTTAATGTAGACGGCAGAACCAACAATCCATGGAACAATAAACACAATATCTGGTTTGTTAATGCGGATCTAAAACAACATGATAATGTCACAGCCTTAAACTTAACTAACAATGTGCCATTCAACCTTTATTTCAGTCAAATCTGAGCGCATTTTTGTTCCCCTGTGTGTTTGTATATTTTCCAGTGACATACTGTAGGTATTAGTATCACTGTGAACAGTTTCTTAGAGTGTCAGTCATGTGACGTTTAGACATGTATCAGGCCAAGGCAGGTGTCTCTGGGTTGAAGCTTCTTGTTCATGCTGGAATTTTTCTGACTGAGAAGTGCAGCAAAAAGGACGCATGGCAACCATATGTAAGTAGAGGGAGGCTGCAGACCTACTACTGAGCGCTAACAAAGTTTGACAATGTTTGTCTGGACGTCAGTTTGCCAATTTTGAGGGAAATTCATGAACATGCTCTTGGGGTGATTTTTTTGTACAGGACAGAGGCAATGACAAGAACTACACAGAGCTCTCTGCCCATGAGCTGAGGAACCTGATACAGCTGCTTTAGTGCAGTCATTATTTAGATAGAACCCCATGTGGTTTGAGTTAGCAGCTCCATACTGGATTTATAAGAGAGCCGTGGAATAAATGCATCTGAGGCATGTTTCATACAGTGCTGCTCCCCATCTGCAGACAGAGGAGTTCCTCTACCCACAGCTTCTCAACTGAGACTTTCTTGGTATATCAGTGCTGCAGAACCTTTATAGTGACTTCTGCAATTAAGATAAGATAAGAAGAACTTTATTTATCCCCAAGGGGAAATTCATTTCCTAATGAAAGAAACAAAGTCCTCCTAGTTGCAGTGAGTGGAGTGTATTATAAATTAGATGCTTGGTTTATTTTCCTTCATGCACGTTTGAGAGGTCTGATTGTTTAAGAGAAAATCCGGGTTCGCTCCTGCTCTCCTCAGCGTGGCCCGCTCCCATCAGCTTCAGATCAGGCTCAGCAGATAATGTGTTTTCTATTTCATTTCATCCTGGTAAGATGAGGGGAGAGAGAGAAAGAGCCTTTGCGTGTGCAGCCTCATAATGTTGCGGTTTTCAGATCTGGGGGCCGTCCAGGCCATGAAAGAGATCCTGGCTCGTCCATCGCAGCTGGTGGCTTGAGAGAGCTTCCTCTGTCGCAGGGACTCCCGGCCAGCCGTCATCAGTATTCCTGAGGAAAGGCTTCCTGTGTGTCGGAGGTCAGCTCCTGGCCCGGTACCCCCTCCCTCCCTGCCCTGCACACATGGCTCATCCTCTGGCACGCCATCACGGGGCCCATACACCGCCGGCTGGCCTGATCTCAGCTGTAGCTTGCTGTTAGGGAGGAGAACACAATAGTACATCCAGCTCTGCTGAAGGAGCTGGACTCTCAAACTGTAAATCAGCCGCTGCTGTTTGTCCGAAATGAATACGATGAAATCCCTAAATATGCAGAATGAAGAATAACCAATGAGTGAACATAAAAAAACCCTGTTTTTACTGATCTCCAGAGTCCTGAGTCATTCATCAGCTGTGGACCTGCAGACTGAAGCTGCAGGATTTTCACAATAAGCCTGCTCTGTGATTTACACTCACTGATCCATAATTTGCCTTTGGAGAGATTTTTGCTCCATTTTCAGAGTCTTAACATCACAGACTGCCACCATGTTGCACAGCTCCATGGCTGGCAAACACTGTGTAATGATTTTAAACAGCAACCATACTGCCAACCCATACTGCAGCCAGAGAGCCTGCCAGCTCTTTAACCACAGTTCAATCATAGCTCCTTACGAGCCTGCAGGTCTGGTGGGCACCCCCCCCCCCCCTTGAAAAAGGGACAAAGTGATCAATATTAAATCAATATTCAATGAAATTGTGATCCAAAGGACAAAAATCAAATGTAATTGTTAAGTTCTTGATATACCAGCCAATCCGTGAGCTTCATCGCCTTGATCAGTACCACAGGTCTGCTGTGGGGGGGCTGGTTTTGTTTCACTCAGGTGGAGACAGTCCTCTTGGTTGGTCTGTAGTGATGAGACTTGATTTGGTTGCATGTCTTTGTACTGACTTAGTGCCCCCGTCAACCTCTTTGTCTCTTCTCAGCCTGCCCTCTTCATCACCTCCTCATTCATTCTGACAGAGCTCTATCTAATAACAGACTCTCTCTCTATAGGATGCAGGGGAAATGGTGCGCTCCCTCGTCGGTGGGTTGGAACTGATTGTTAATTTGCTGAAGTCAACAAACAGCGAAGTGCTGGCGAGCATCTGCTCCGCCATCGCCAAAATAGCCAAAGACAGGGAGAACCTGGCAGTCCTCACTGATCACGGGGTCGTCCCACTGCTGGCCAAGCTGACTGACACAGTGAGTTCACCTCTGTGCTGCAGACCCACAGCAGTTAGCTCATCAACGGCAGTGAATTCAACTTTCATACAAACATTTTTACTATGACTCCTGTTCCCATTTAACGCAGCATAAATCTGGGTAATGAGCAGAACATTAGGAGTTACAGCCCTGAGGCTCCTGCAGAGCTGTGTTGGAAGTTTGCTGTTGTACACATCATAAAGTCGCCCTCCGGAGACCAATAGCATCCTGTTTCCTCCTCCACAGACTGATGACAAGCTGCGCCACCACCTGGCCGAGGCCGTCGGTCGCTGCTGCATGTGGGGCAGCAACAAGGTGTCTTTTGGTGACGCCGGAGCAGTGACGCCCCTTGTTCGGTACCTCAGTTCAAAAGACACAGCAGTCCACCAGAGTACTGTGATGGCCCTGTACCAGCTGTCCAAGGACCCCAACAACTGCATCAGCATGCACAGGAGCGGCGTGGTCAAGGTCAGTGAGCACTTAGTGGCTGATCTCTGACTCCTTATCTCTGCTTTTCCAAAAATAGTTCACAAAGTGATTCTTCCTCTTTTATTTGGTGCTTTTTTGTCTGAATCTGTCAAAATCACGCCGAGGAAAAGTACCCTGACTCCCCCCACTCTTGCCCTTGCGATGTGTGAAAAACACTAAGTAATAAACTCTAAAAAGCTGAGACTATTTTCAGAGCCTTTGACTGATGGGGCAGAAACAAAGCGGGTTTTATTCAGCAGCGGAAACATGACTCCACTTTCTAGCCGTCATGGGAATTCAGAAAAGCAAACAGCTCAGTGTGTGCGCAGCGCCATTTCTCCGGTAGCTCCTAGATGCCATTACAGCACGAGTCAAAGGGCTGTAGCCGGGGGTAACTGTTGCTAAGGGCTGTTCCTGGACATCAGGGATGAATGCAGCAGCAGCAGTGATATGCTTCAGGCCGGAGAGCGCAGTCAGAGAACAATGTTTTTTTATGGTGGAGGGTTTTTTTTCTCTTCTCTGTACGGCTACATCCGCCAGCTTCCTTCATCCCTGCAGTCGTGAAGCACTCGTCCAAAAAGAAACAAGCATTGTTTTGTCTAACTCTAAGCCTGTCGGGCTGTTTCCATTCAGCTCCACAGACTGTTTGTGTTTGTCTCTGACAGTCACTCCAGATTTCATGTTCAGATTAGACTCTAATTGATGTCTTGTCACAAATGATCTTGAGCTCATATTTCAGCATATTTGGAAACCATCACTATCTTTCTCTCAGATTCAATCATGTTTCACACAGAAGGACTTTTTCACATGGAAATCTTTCTGCGGCCTAAAGTGAGCTGAAATCCTTTTTCCTCTCCTAAATAACAACTGTGATATAAATTATAAAGTGGTTGTGCCATTGCAGCCAGATGCTTTTTTCCCATGTTCATTAAATGGTGTACTTGAGCTCGATCTGCTCTTACAGTCTATGTGGTTCGACTCTGGCCATAATTGGTATCTGGACTGAGCGTTGGGTGTTCCGACAGAGTTATGTCCAATTTGCAAAAGTCGTTAAGCTGAGTGCCTTTTGTAGTTCGAGCCACGACAAAAACTGGACAAGCCCTCTTTTTTTCTGTGTGTGTGTGTGTTTGAAAGGCATACCACCCTTTTAATCTGTCTCTGTGTTTGCCCTGATTAATGTACCAGTTAAGAGTTGCAACACTACTCCATGATGTATTTTTGGACTTTTAAAGAGCTTAATTACCAAAGGCCACGTAACTGCAGCAGTGTTGCAGTGTTTGTTCTTAATCTCAGACTTGGAAACACAACACAGGCAGCCTCATTGTTCAGTCTGGCCACAGTCTCAGCCATCCGGGCAGGAGGAAGGGGAGGCTGAGACTTACCTGCCTGACCTCAGAGGAAACATTTCAGAGTGGGATATTGTCAATCTTGTGGATTTCAGTTTGCTCTGTAATGTTCTGCTCCATGATCTACAGGCAGCTGGTAGAGAGAATGTGTTAAAATAATATCTCTAATAGTTGAAAATGTGTTGGAGAGAGTTTCGTGAGGATTGATACTGAGCCCTGGGTCTGATTTACTGCCATGTGTAAAACCCTGGACCTCCTCTTATTATTGGAAAAGTGTTTCAAAGAGTATTTCTGTGCCGCTGAGAGTCTCTACAAACATATTTACCCACGTGTAGTATACGATTTCGAGTGAGTGAGGGTTTGTCTCCCTCCTAAGTTAGTTTAGAAAGTAACTTTCCCCCCTTGAGCACTAAAGAGCCCAGACCCTTAAGATCCACAGAGGAAACCAAGCGTGGATGAGAAAGTGTTTCACACTGGAAAACAGATTACTGACTTGTCCCAGAGTTTGTACTCCTCATTCGGTCCACAGTCAATTTAAATATTTAGTGTAAATACTTTGCTTTGGGCTTCACCTTGTCATTCATTATTTCTTTCAGACTTTGTTGCTCATATTTTTTGCACAGTGTGTTTTTCTTGGAATCTGCCGCCTCTCAGATCAGACTTGCAAAAAGAAAGAGATTCAGGTGCAAAATACGAACCACAGAAAAAGAGATAAATCGCCCATTCCGTTTGATTTGACATCCACCCTCAGTATCTCACAGTTTTATACGGATGTGCTTCATTTTGTGTCATGTACTAAACCAACATGCCTTCCCTCCTGGGCTTTACACTGCTTCCAAAAGCACTGGGGATTGTTTGCTTAAACCATAAATCCTTGTAGACAGCTTCAGCCAGCTATTTGTATTAAAGAGGTTTTCACATAAGAAAAGCTTTGTGAAGTAAATGGATGAAAATTACAAAATGTGCTGGTAATGATTGGTAATTTTCAACTAAAGACATTCCAGAGCATTGCTTCTGCCAGGTCCTGCTATGTATTTTAGGCGTTTACTAATCTCAATGAGAAAAACGTTTGCACTTTGGTTGCCATGAGCACGCTTCTGCCCCTGCACGCTGCCTGTTTGCTTTATTTTTTCAGTTTCTCACACAGTCAGTCATGAACAGGGAGGCTGTGGGGGGCAGAAAATACTCTAATGTCAGGGCAGGAATAAAAACCAAACAGAGCATCACAGGTTTACTTCTTCACTTTCCTGTTGGTTTGTGGCTTACATGACTTCAGGTCAGGGTGTGGTGAGCAGATGATACAGGCTCTGTGTCCTGCTGCTCTGTTATGACAACCATGTTTTTGACATCCATGCAATGGGATGTCGTAGAGCCTCTGACTCGAGCTTCTCTCTGCACTGTCTGGGTTAGAAATGCCAAGCTTGGTTCTGCAGGTTCAGACCAGTCTTCAGACTGAGGCTTACATACAGATGAAATTTTAGTAAATCAGAAGATGAAGTGAGCCTCAACATGACAAAAAGGATAGACTGCATGTAATATTTGAAACGTGCAAAATGGAATGAATCCATCAAGAGTCTGGTCCTTTATATTAATGAGTCGTGATATCAGATGCTTTCATAGCATCAACAAAGGAGTGGAGAACTACACACTGGTAAGCAGCAAAAATGACACAGCACCAGTATTGCATTGGTTGCATGATATACACCTCATCACCCCACCTACTAGCTCATATTGAATTATTTAGCTGTTACTAGCTACATTTACACATTGTCTTATCCTGTTGTTATGCAGAAATTTGACTAGGGAGCCATCTGATTTGAGTCTTGGTGAAAACATTTTTGCCAATAGTTGTCCAGTTTCAATTTCAGTTGAGACTGTGGTTTTCCACAATCATGAAAAATACATAATCAAGTTTAAATTATGTGCTGCCCGCAATGCTGCACTCATTTTGTCCTCTGCTGTGAATGGAGCACACCTCTTTCTTCCCTCACAGCAGATACATCTGATATAAATGTCAAATCATTGGTGATTACATTTAATAATGGTGATCTTACTATCAACCAAAGGACGTGATTATGAATTTCCAAATGTTGAGTCACCCTGGCTAACCCAGATCAAATAATTTTGAGGAGTCTTAAGGCTCCCAAACTAACCTTGGCTTAGACATAGCTTAGAGCAGTAAACTAGCTTGAGGTAACAGGAAGGTGACATGGTAAAGCAACAAAGAAAAGATGTTTTATTCACTCAATGAAGCAAACACAATTCAGTCAGAAACACTTTAATTCAAGAAAAGTAATTATTTCATGCATCAAATCATATTTGGTAGTATGGCTGTATCCTGAGAGCTCCCTGCCCTTCTATGTAAATATGCAGGATATCAAAGTCTGAGGTAGGGAGACCACACACCCCTCTGTTTCATGTGCATTCATGAGAGGCCAAGGCAGGCAGAGAGGCAGCAAAAGCTCCCTGAGATAATGAGCGGCACCTCAGTTCATTTTCACTGGCAATCTTAGAATGTTGAAGCTCAAGGCAGGGAGAGCACACCTCCCCTCCTTTTTTGGTGCATACTTGCTGGCATCTGCTCAGTACACAGTATCTTTTATGTTTGTTTTAATGTTTGAGTTTGGTTTAATGTATATTTTTTTTATACTTATTAATGTTGTCTTTTGAATGAGGTACTGGAGAGGAGACAGGCAGAGCAGCAGTAAAGACATCACCAGTTTGGTATATAACAATAGGATAAGAAGGTAATCAGCTGGTCTCTGTGAAAACAGCTGCACTTATGAGTATGGCTGTGGTAAATCTTCATATTTTTCCTGAACCACACACAGGGGCAGCTTCATTCAAGGGGGGAGGGCTCAGAAAGTAACACTTCTGATAGATCTAAGCAATGATGGACAAGGAACAGCCAACCAATAAAGGAAGAGTTTTTTTTTCCAGAGGCTAACTGATGCAATGAAACCCTCACTGTTAAAGACTCGTCTTTGAGGGCCCAGAGTTTGGTCGGGTTTATGGAGGCAGCTGTGGTGCAGACTTAAAACTTTCTCAAAGTCACTGATTTACATCTGCTCTCTCGCCCTCTCATCTTCTTCTTCGTCCTCCTCAGAGACACAGAAACAGCAGCTCACTCAGTCTCTGACTCACTGAAGGCTGCAGAGAATGTTATTTACCCTGACTTCCCTCACAAGCTTCCCTTCAGCCCCTGCAAAACATGGATATCTGTTTGAGCTGCACAGTGGACTCGAGAACATGGACATGCTCAGGGGTACAGGAGGTTGATGGGGGTCTTAACAACTGTCAGACCCACACAGGGGCATTAATCCTGAACCCTTGCAGACAGATGAGGCCCAACAGGGCGCACTTAACACCATAACACCTCCATGTGCTACAGCATGTATACATACACACATGCAGCATTATTGTGTAGCCCTCCCAGACTGCATGCCCGCCTGCTCCTCCCCCTTCCTCCCTCTTGCCAGAGATGGAGGAAAGCGTGTTTCCCAGCTCTCTCCTTGGATGTCAGAACTCACTGGAGCTCTCTGAAGTACAGAAACCTCAAAAACTCACGATTCAGTTTTCAAATATGGGGCAAGTGTTCATGTTACCACAGCCAGGCAATATCTAACAAGTGGAGTATTATATTCTGAGAGATCCCAGCTGGGAGGGAAAGAGCTAGCTGAAAAAAGAGTGAAGAGAGACACGCTTATCTTCGCTGAGCCGCGTGCTTCAGGAGACCTTATTTGGCTACGTCTGAATAACATGCTATGAGGTTGGCAAAAACTCTGCCTCCAGCACTTTGCAGGCATCCTCTCCTTTTACAAAAGAGACTTGTTTAGAGAGCTGCATGTTTTCTGGAGCCTGTGGATCTAAGTTTACTTTTGGAGGTGTTTTTGGTGCTATTTAAAAATCATATAAAACCTGAGGGCAAATGTTTCACATATACTCAGCCACACTGCTTCATTGAGAGGAGCTGACATCGCTGACTGTTGTCTGTGTTTCTGCTGAAAATACAGTTCCAAAAATCTAGAGAAAAGACATTATTTTCTCACTTTTTAAAATTTTTTATCTTTTGTATTCTCAGTCATCCATGTTGGCCCAGTTCCTTTTTCAGCTGTTTTCTTGATTCTGTTTGTCCTTGCTCAGAAATCCTGGGAATGTCTTGTCTTCTTCTTTGGCTGTTTGCTCACCACACAAATGTGCAGAGTCGTGTTTTCAGTTTGCACATAACACAGGGAAGCTTCAGGGTCAACCTCAGCCCCCCCTGACAGGCATTATGGACATAATGACAAACTGAGAGTCTGACCTCAACACTGATCAGCTGGATATAGATACGTGTAAACATGAGATATCACCAAAAGACGGCTACAGTTAAGGGAGGGCTGCGCTAAAATGATAGGATCGTCATTTCAGTATATTCCCTATAATAACAAATGCTGCTGTTTTTGAGTGAAGACCCTGATTATGATGCTCTGGTGGAAACCAGGGGGGCTTACGGGTTTATCTTGGTAAAAATAGTTTTAATAACCAAAAGATTTTCATCACTTAGGGTTGCACAAAATAAAAAAGTGACATTTGGAAGTGTTATTATTCAAACTTCTCCAAAAAACAGAAATTACAAAATAATTCTGAGCAGGATAATAAAGTCTGCATATTTACTTATATTTTCTATATCTATCAGCTGTACTTCATGACTTACTCAGTAACTGTGTTAGTACATGATTTGACACCTCAAGGAGGTCATTTTAAAGTCCTGTATTCCTCTAGAGGGTCTTCCAAAGTCTTTTATTGAAAGTGATCAGTAAAATCTTCAAAACCCGGGAGAGACAGTTAGGGCAAGAGTGAAGTGGTTGTGTCTGTTAATACCTAAAAAGTTCATTAATGTTACTGGCCTGAATTTTGTAAGCTTTTTAACCATTGTTACTCCACACGATAGTATAGATGACACTTACTGACCCCAATACTTGTTGTTTTATTCTGCACCCCATTAGAACAGGCTGGTCGACTTTTGAATATGATGGGGAGGGTTAGGGTAAGGGTTAGCAGTGACATGAGGTTCTCCAATGTGTTTCAGTCATGCCTCTGCCTTTAGCTGAATCCAAACAGGCTGGATGTCATTTAAAATGGTTCATTCTCAGGTCATTTTCTTGGACAGTTTTCAAACTTCACATGAGTCTGTAACAGCAGATCTGTACAGAAACTGTTTTCAAAATCCTTTTCCATTTGCTGAACACAGCCTTGATATATGGGGCTTAAAAGTGCCTCAGACGTCTCAGCAGTCGCTGTATTTATCAAAGCTTCATTGTGTTTAGTAGCAGGGAGGCCTTAAGTGCTTAGTTGAGGGATGTAATGTTGCCATTGGTTCATTATGGATGTAAACAAGATGATCCAAAATAATTGCAAGTGTGGCTTAGGAAACCTCAGTGGCACACCATTGTGATTGTACCAAAGAGCACACATTGAACAAATTTAGATCCATCCATTTCAGCAGAGTATTTATGCTTACGTTTACTTTTACTTTGATTCAGCCAGGCAGACGCCCACAAACATAATGTAGTGATTTTGCTGCAGATAAAACTGAAAAAAGGCTCACCCCTACAAAGCACATGCCACTCAGTGGTGTGCCATATATCCACTGTTCCTCTTTGCTTATTTCTGCACAATACGCAGTTCTTTGAAGATACAAAAATCTTTTTTAATGTTCAGTTTTATGTAACCAAAATATAAACTCCCAAGGCTGGGGATTTCTAAAGGGCACAGAGCCTTGTTCTGCAATAAGATCTAACGAGATCCATTACACAAGCCACTAATAGTCGGATATAATCTGACCTTTGGAGCGGTGGAAAGGCTGTCAAGTTGTGCGGTTCATGCTCAGGTTTTAATGTCGAGCCGGCTCTTTCATCTGAGCAAACTTACAGGAGCATGTGTGCCTGCAGCTGTAACCCCTTTGCTGAGGCATGGTTTGAAACTGGGACAAACACTCATGCATGCTAGTGCTACATGAGGCTGTCACAGCAGAGTCCCTGCATGACCATCAAAATGTGTGCAGCATACAAACATGTTTCAAAGCTACCAGACCAGCGTCAGTTAACAGTGTTAATGAATTTCTTCCTGCAGCTGGCTCTTACCTCTGTCTGTTTCATTCACACAGCCACTCATCGGCATCATGGGCTCTGAGGATGAGACACTCCAGGAAGCTGCCGCCGGCTGTGTGCGTAACATCCGCCTGCTGGCCCAGGCCAACAGAGAGGACCGACTATTTTGCCGACAATAAATTGATCACATCACCCCAGGATCCACCTCCACACTGTGGTCATGGCTGCCTCCTCCAATGGCTTCACTCTGGTAGCACACTGTGTTTGGATTTTTTAAATATTATTTTAGATCATGTTAGAACTGCAGAAAAAGTGACTCAATGTTGAATCATGAAAGACCTCTGGACCCTTTGTGGTTAATTTAGCTTGATTTCTGATCTTTAGCTGCACAGAGAAAAGAGCTAGCATGAACCCCCAATGATGCCCAGGCTTACATCTTAGAACACAGAGCTGCCACGATATTGGATTTTCATCTCATGATTACTGTGGTCATAAAATATCATGATAACAATATTATCATAATATTTATAGAAAACTTTGTGAACACCACAATGAGGAAACCACACAAACCACCACAAACGGAGGAAAAGTAAAGCAACACATTACTTCATAAACCTTACTAATAAACACAGTGAAGTTACATGTTTTCCATTTCTAATGATGTTCAAACTGATTTATCCACATCATCAGCCCCTAGACTCAAAATAATGGTGTTTAATTTTGATATTTTTTCCCCTCATCTTTCAAAATTGCTGTTAAAAAAGTTAATCTTTCTTTTTCTGTTCAATAAAGAATGTGTGTCTGTCTGAGTGGATGACATAAACATTTTGGAATAGACATCCAACTGCTAAAAGGGACCATCAGTCATTCATTTTCAGAGCTTTCCTTCATGTTGCTAAATTAAATGTCAGATTTTATTTAAATTATTTTTATACTGTGTCATAAAAACTTGAAAGATTTGAGCTCTTTTACAGCCAACATTTTATCACAGGCTGCAGATTTAACAAATCATTTAGTTTTTATAAAACCTCCTTTTTAAACCCAAGACTTAAATTTGATTATGATTCAAAACAATGTCTCTCACTTTTTAGACCGACAGTAGTTATCTCGTTAGTGCTCGTTAGTACTTGTTAGTGCTCATGTCTTCTCATGGTCACTATTGTGTTTGTCTTGTCCTTTAGCTTTCAGACAATCAGAAACACACGCACCTGCCTCCTCTTTCAACTCTCCCTCCTCCTGCTCCTCTCCCTGCTCTCCCCTGCTCTCCTCTCTCTCTCCCTGCCTCTTCCCAGTTGGGGTTTAGAAGTAAAATGGATGCACTGCTAACTTGAAGTGTAGTGGGCAACTCAGTGCTCTGCTTTAATAATGTTATAAATATGTTGTTAGAGAGGTCTTAAAGTGGTCTTTAAAAATACAGGCCATGATTTGAAGTCTTTTCTCTGATAAACAGTGTTTGTATTATAGACAATGGTTGAGTTTTAGTTTGAGTAACATCAGATTCTGCAGGTTATTCGTTAATTACAGGACAGACTTTACCAACAAGCTCATTATTTGTCAGTTAAAATGAGACATCTGTATTTCAGGGTCATCTGTGTAGCAGAGCACTAACACAATGTTTAGTCCGCACCAACTATAAAACAACCTAATGAAGGGTTTTTGGGAGTCCCTCATTACAGCTCATTGTTTAGCCTTTTTCCCTGCAGTGTGTCTGTTTTTAGGGTTCGAACCTCTCTTTAAAGGCAGCGGTCCTCTCTCTAATCCTCTGTTTTATCTGTCCTACATATACAGATCATGTTTAACAGTGTTAGTGTGAGTACAGCTGATCCTCCCATCTTCTGTTCCTGTTTATTACAAACAGACCACATTAGGCTCCACCGCACTCAGCATTTCAGATTCAGCTGAGGGCTGCTGGCCTCCTCCGCTGTTGCCCTCACCACGTCTGTCAGCCTCCCAGTCTCTCTGATCCTCCTATCCTGGTCCCAGTTAGCTTAGCCGCTCAGCACCAACCACAGAAGCTGCCGCTAAACCTCTTGGGACTTTTATCATTAATATCAGCAGCAAGCTAAAACAGAAAATTAGCAAAACACTGAAAATATGTGGCTGAAAATCTTCATCAGTCTTTGAAGTTTAAACACTAGCAGCTGTCAGCAGGGTTCACCGGGAGAGCACGGACCGAGCGAAGCCTCAGAGCCATGAAGAAGCAACTTCCTCCAAAAACACAAATCAGGGAGTGAAAGACGCTGCTGTCTCCACACCAGTCAGAACAAATCAGCTCTCAGTGATGAATGTCTTTTTAATTCAGCTCTGCCAGTTTTATAGGCTCTGCACCATACCCAGTGTCAGAAGTGATTCGCAGAAAAGAGTGAAAGAAAAGCATTTCTCCCTTTCAACAAAGAGGAAACATGTTTTTCCTCTGTGTGGTAGCTCAGCTTTCCTTTCTGTTGTCATATTTATTCATCAACTCTCTTATTTTCCCTTATTTCAGCTAATCCTCCTGTCAGTTTTCCTCACATCATTGCAGTAATGGCTCATTTTTTTCAGTAAGATGAGGAGTCAGATACTTTGACAGCAGATTGGGGTGAAGTAAGGAGGGAGTAAAAGAAGATTTTAAGAATGAAGCTCTAGTTTCACTACAGTAAAGAAATAAGTCGAGGCTGCAGGGGGGAAAGTCATAGAAGTATGTGTTGAATGTCAATTTTTTAATGATTGAATTTGTAAGACTGAAAGTTCCTTTTTTAGGAGGTGACTAGCAGCTCATCCAGAACCTCCCTTCACAGCAGCAGGAACATAAATGCCAATCACTAGCTGTATTTACATGCAATATTTTCCTCAATACCATTGAAAATAATCATATTGAGTGAATCAGATGCGACCTGTATACATGAACTACAGTGACCATATTCTGAATCCCCAAAAAGAGGACACGACTACGTGGAGATGGATTCACAGAGTAAACTTTGAGAGTTTTTTTGGGTCGGATCGAGTGTTTTTTATGCGCTTCTAACTCAGTAAGTCCACGCTAAACAAACTCAAAACTTCTCACAAAACCCTGGACATTTGAAGGATTTTATAAACTCCCCCAGACAAAGCCGGACAAGGACAGACAGTCCCCAAAAATAGGACATGTCCGGTAAAAGAGGACGTATGGTCACCCTACATGAACTTGCAGTAAAGCGATCCATGTTTAGTCCGTGTTCACATGCGCCCAGTTAAATCCAGGTAACAGCATGCGCAAAAAGCCTCTATACCTGCGAAAGTATAAGTGAAGAAGAGGATCACTTCAGTTTCCAGCTGGGAAATGGATCAATGTCATGTTTTATCTTTTATTTATGTATTTTATCGTTTTGTTGTGTTTTGGTCACAGCTTCCGGGTTTTCTATTTCCTTCGAGCATCGTTTTGTGACCATACAAACCTGGGTGCTTGTGCAGAACGAATAATCTAGTCTATCAATCAAATATGATCCAGCCAGCCAGTTATATGTGATATCAAACGTATTGTGGCGAAAATGTGAAACATTCGGCTTACGCCTTTTCCTATACACCCCCGGTGCATCGCGAACAAAATTTGCATATTCACATAAAAATACACCATGGGAGAACAGAGGGGGAGAGAGAAGACAGAGAAACAATCGACTACATCCTCAAGTGATGATGACCTGGTCATAGTTGTAAGCCCATTAAATAACAAAAAGAAAATGATGAATCGAAGTGTCCTTAGAGCAGCGCTGCTCTTTAACACTGACGTGCCCAGCATTACACCATCTCATATAATTCTGGGCACCCACACACCGACACAATCAGTTTGTCCCTTCATTTTAGATACCAGTGAACAACTATCTGTTTTCACACATCACCCGGCAACCTTATCGAGATGCAAATATCTGCTCAAGTTGAGACATTTTCAGCTCCCGCCCAATTCTTGTCATTCGCGCCATCAATCAGAGTAGTACAAACGTCTAATTGCATCTTTGCATTGATTTAAAATATAATTCATTTGCTCAAATAATTTTACTTGCACTTGGTGTGTGGTGACAGTAACAATATGATAACTTCATATTTGAAACATTTTTTAACATTAAGGGCTCTATTTTCGTGTCCGCTGGTGAGGCGGCGGAGGGTGGCAGCCCCGCGCAGTGGTATTTTTGTCTGGTGGAGCCCGGCGTACAGCCAGTTTGGTATTTAGGTGGACTGAGGTGCACTGAGGTCTGCCAAGCTGGGCGTGGTGGCGTGGCAGAGGGTGGTGTCTACAGAATCAGCTGGCGCAGTGACATTTTCGTGCTCGCCGGTGGCGTATAAAGTGCGCTGAAAGCTCGCCAATTCAAACATGGTCAGCTTTCAGCGCAGGCGGAGCGCAGCTGGTCTAGTGGTATTTTGGTAGACCAGCGGTGCATCGGCATATGTCACTGATGCCTCACCGGCAGGTTTCCACAGTTTCAGGCACAGTTCAGTGCAATAAATAATCAACAACAACTAATAATCTGAGTTAGCACATACATTTAGATCTACATAGATATATTCTGATCTATATCTTACCTGATGAGCAAGTTTGGCTCACATTTGGACACTCAACCTGACCTAATCAACACAGCTGAAACCGCATTGAATTAAATTGAATATCTAGTAAATAGACACACATGATGATGTTAAAAAGATATGTAATTCGTCTCCCTCCTTTTCTTTCTTCCTCTTCCTCTTATTTCTCGCGCAGTTCGACCTGGACATGTCTCTGTGTCCTCTCCCCGTCCTGCTGCAGCTGCTGCGGCGGCGGCTGAACAGATGATTTGTTTCAGTGATCAGATGAGTTATTTACTTTAAGCCTACATACTACAGATAATATTCAGTTTTGTGAGCCAAATTTATTTTATAAGCCAACATCTATTAAAAAGAAAGAGCCAGGCCACGAAGCGCGATGCCTCATTATGCACAGATAGTTCCGATTTTAATGCCATTATGTTGTGATCTGTGCGCACAACCCACCTTTGTCACGTGAGGTTTGAATATGTGCAACTTTTTGTGAGTGTCTTTATTTGTGGAAAGGGTGTTTGTCTTACTAGTGGGTCCAACATTACACACACCAAATCCTTCTGTGCTCATATGAGAGAGTGTGAAGGACGCCCTCTGCAGCGTTTACAGTGACACTTGTTGAGGGGCTGCCTTCTGTCGCCATCGTGAGGCATTACTGTCTTCAGACGTCTCTTGATTTCTTTGACTACTTCACGAAAATTGTAGTACGCCTCGCCGGTGGCGGATTTAAAGGCAAGGAGAGGAGCTGATGATATTGGTCAATACAGGTCTTGGCTGTGTTAAACCCACTCCACGCCCTCTCTCCTCCCTCGCTAGTTAGGGAGGGGGGATACTTACGCTTCGCCGCTCACCAAAATACCAGGCATTGCTTGGGAATGCCTTGTCGGCGCGGCGGACCTGACTTATGTCGCGTCTGCGGTACGTCTCCGGTGAGGCATGAAAATAGAGCCCTATGGCTCAGATTTCTTTTTCTGCAGGTTGGCCTTCAGTTTGTGTTGTCATAGTATCTCACTCTGGTTTGCTGTAAAGATTATATTCTAGTTTTTTGTGAAACCTTTGTCTGGAGTAATGGACTGTGGATAGAGCTGGAAAATTAAAGACAGAATGTGTAGTCATGTAGCTAAAGGTTAAAGGTGAGAACAGTTGCCTCTTTAAGAGCTGCAGTTTGGAGAGAATGTATAAATTCACTATCAAACTGCTCTACCTCCCCACTGCCTCATCAGAGTAGAGTGGAGTAGAGTAGAGTAGAGTAGAGGAAGATGAGTGGAACAGTGTGAAGACAGGTGTAAGACAGTGGATGGTGAAGGCAGAACAAGGGCGAGAAGCCTGTAAGCTTGAGCTTACCCTGTCAGGTAAAGTTCTGCCTCCACCTTTTTGAAGATATGTTGAACAGAGTAAG